CAACAAAATAAGTGGTTGGACGCGTATGGTTACCTAAATCACCCAATTTCCTGTCGAAAACTGCAAAAATATGCAAATTTGCAAGCTTACCCTTTAAAAATCATTAAATTAACAATATCTTTGGACTGGAAGTGATGTCATCAAAACAGAAAAAACGCATAAGGTTCAAGTGATGTTACCACAGGAGTTTGCAATTTTATCAATAAAATTAATAGAAATCACTCAATTGACCAAGCCATGAGCTAAGCATTAGCATAGCGAACAGGAGTGCAACACATTTTTGGAGAAATCGACCATTTCACTTTTACCCAAAGCTAAATCAACACAACTCTTCAGCAATCATATCAAACAACATTTCTCTACTTAAATTTACCTTCTAACCCTTCTCGAATGCTGTCAATACCCACTTTCTTCGATTTCGCATTAACATTTGTTTTACCGAGAAGCCATTGCGTGAAGTAACATCAAATGTGAACCTGACAGATAATTATTTGATTGACTTAAATATAAAGAAATAAGATAAATGATTGTCGATTATTGTACATATTTTCTTTTATAAGTAAGTGGAATAAATCATAATACTTAATATAAGATCATTTTTTTAGGACGAGAAACCATGTCGAGTTGTTCAAAAACAAAGGGTGATGTTGCATGTGTGCGCAATTTGAAATACATTTGTATTGAGAAAGTAAAAAGAAATTTGTCATGTCCAACAACTTGCATTTTGGTAAGTTGGTATAATGTAAAGCAACAGGAAATAATCTAAAGTGTATTTTCTAATCTTTTTAATTTTTTTTTTTCTCCAAACCATGTTGCATTCCTGTTAGCTATGCTCATGGCTTGGTCAATCAAGTAATTTCTATTGACTTCATTGATAAAATTGCAAACTCCTATGATGTTACATAATTCCTGAAAGTTTGACGGAAATCCATCAAGCCATTTTCGAGAAATCATCTGCACAAAATCAGTAAAAAATAATAATAATAGAGGGCGGAGCCCTCTCATGTAGAAGGAATGAGAGTGGGGGAGATATTCCAATGACCATGTCTTGTATGTGTGGATGTCGAGTAAACTAATCTAACAGCCATGGTACACCAAATACATGTATTGTACTTTCCCTTTCAAAACCAAATGCTAGACTTATACAACGTAAATAACAGAGAAACATAGCATACATGTATGTTCAACTTTAAGACATTTCAATGAAAGAATGTAATAAATATTGTCATCATGATTTTAATTGCATGTAGATACTGGTCAACTATTTCCACAAGAAGCATTTTCCTACAGTGTACCATGTATGTGGTGATATAAATCCAATGGACATACTACTAGACCTTAGAGTTGCACTCTTCTGCACATCGAGTCTACTTCGTGTGCTCAAAAAGGATGCAAGCCAATATGTGTACTTAAGAAAAGCTGTTTACTTGTGAAATGCAAAACTGACTTTGCCTTAGATATCAAACTTGTATTCTTATCATGCTTATTACTCAACAGTGTTCTTTTTATGTAGTGAATAGGTTAATTTGAATATATTAACATTTGTTTAAAATGTTTATTTGTTTATTTTTTTCCTCCCTCCCTCGTAGGTTTTGAATTTTGTAGGTGATGTTAAACGTAGAATTAACTTTGGACACCCTAATTTTCTGACACTGATTAGGCCAAAGTTTTTATTTTTATTGGTTTACGATTTTCTGTCTAAAAAAAATGCATTGGGTGGTCAAAAAATAAAAATAAAAATAATTTAGGATTCAACAATTTCATTTTAAAATAACGTCAATGTTTATTTTAATAAAAATAATACACGTCAATAGTACTTTTAAGTTTTATTGTCTAGATCACATAACTCTTTTTATTTAATTTTAATTTATTTCTAACTTCAGACTGAATGTCATTTTCATTTACATATAGTTCTGATTTTTGTTTGTCAATCAGTGCTTGGTTCATGATGTTCAACATTTTGTGCTCTTCAGTGATATGTGATGTGTTATAAACCTTGGTATCCCCACAAACTAAAATATAAGGATCCAAATTCAAGTTAAATTTAGATTGAAGAAAAATACAATTTAAGTGTTTCACAATATTAAAAGTAATTGACGTTGAAATAAAGGTTATAATAATTTGATCATGCAGCTATCAAATTTAATGTTCAACCTGCGGCAAAAAAGCCTAATAATTTCTCAATCAAGTCCTTCTTTAAATGTTTGTTATGTACTTGCACAGTAGGCAATGCTCATTATTTATTAGTAATTCAAAGGGCTTTAATCTCAATTGAGTATGAAATTTGCAAAGATTTGTATATTGAATTTACTTCTATAAACTAACAAATGTTTTATACACATTTGAATTTATCCAGTGAAATACCAGTCAACGTTACTTCAACTAAGATGTACATGTATCTCTCAACACTAAATTGGCCTAACTATTATCCATGGATTTATCAGCCTATTTTGGGAAACACCATTTTTGGGGAATTGGGAAAAAATTATCGGCTATTTGATGAAATTGCAAAAATTTTTTAAAATGTTGCTTAAATCATGTACTCAGGGGTAATTCATTTAACATTTCAGCACGAACTCTAATTTGGGCAACCAAATGACAATTAAATATGGACCATCTTATTCGTACAAAATCAATTTTGAATAATAGACTAATAAAAGTAAAATGGACTTCAATTAGTATAAAGCATTTATACAACTTAGGGAAGTACATGTACATCATGTACATGTGTGTATGAGATTTCAATTTAGATCATTATAGTATCTGTTTCTGGAGATTATAAACCTCCTGCAAAAAATTATACTAAGTACACATTTTCTAAAAGTCCTCTTTTAGTATGTATTAATGCATTGAAAATATATTTTTCTATCTGAAATAATGCCTTAAGTCCTTACCATTAACTCGCAGATCAAATGAGTAGGTGGAAATAACTTAATAAATCTATATAATTACACAATATCATCATTTTTAGAAAAACAGAGGAAATTCGGATTAAAAGTTGGCGATGTTTTTACAGTGTTTTTAAACATGTGTTATGACTGTAGCTTTGCTAAATGAGTTAAATATATGAAAATTACAGACAATCTGACAATTTTACCTAGTGTTTTTCCAAGATAATTAAAAATAAAAGCATTGTTCACCAATTGAGAAAAAATACTGCCAAATTGGGAAAAAACTGAACTCATTTTCAATCGGGAATGGGCCGAACTTCGGCCCCTGAGAAGGCACTGATAAATTCTTATTATCTATAGGTGTATCCGTGTCTGCTAGGTCGATCAGGGTTGGGCATACACTCTCCAATATTACGGTATGAATTTAGCCAATTGAGACATTGCAATTGGAGAAAGGGATCATTTATCCAAGATTTTATTCACTTTTCCATGCAGAAAAAGTTCTTTAAGTGTGTGTCATTGCTTTCAGTGAGGAATTACCTTGTTACATGACAGAGCCGCCATTTTTGGTTTGCACATGTGTTTATTTACGGTCACCTAAATGTTTGTAAAGGTCTCATATATTTATAAGCGCTTATTTGACTAAGATGCATTCTAAAATTTAAACCCACCAGTTCAGCTGAGAAAAATCCGGAAATATATGTCGGAAAAAGACATTATTTTTATTTTCATGATTTGTGAAAACTAGTGTCGGCGGAATCGTAAACCAAACGAAAAAAAAAACTTTGGCCTTATAATTTGATTTTAACACTAATGATTAATAATTTATTTTTAAACAATAAAATGTAGAATTGTTCTCTTAATGGCTCCACCCTCACTAACGGTCGCACTGTCTAACATATTAAAAGAGAAAAAGAAACCTAAGAATAACAAGAGAAAGTCTTCCATAAAAGAGGAAAGACCTTAATTACCCTGACTGTCCCGATACCCGCTTTGATTTTTCTTACTACATAGCCCACCCATACTAAGATAGAATGTTCTATCGTTAAAATGATATTGTCCTACGGACCCGGAATTCGTTCCGTGTATTGGCAATGTAGCAAAATGAACATAGGCGATAACTCAAACTCAGTGCATTTACTATGATCAATCCAGAGAGTTCTGAATGTCAACATGGCATATAAATTTGAAGCGAGAAAATATGTTGAGAAAATTAGTTGAATTTTCGTCTTTATATGGATTATTTCTTAGGTTAAAAGGCATATACAATCTCAAAAAAGGTTTGTTATGATTAATTTGGTAGTATTATTTTCAGTGCAACTCCTTTGATATTTTTCTAAATCATTTTGGAGCAGATCCGCTCTGATTTGCTACATAACAGGTATACTGGTATCTCATTATATCGCGGTACTAATTTTTTTGTGTAAAAAAGTTATTCCAAATTCTTACTTTAACTTTTCATCAAATGCTTTTCATAAACCTAACAATGGCCTAACTTTATCAAGGCTAATTATTTCCCAAGCTTACTTCGTTTAATTTGTGGTCTATTTTTAAAACAGGAAGTCTTATTTACCTCCTAAAGTGGAGAGTCTCATTGTATCGCGGTACTGAAAATCATGGAAGCTTGGCACTGTCACGAAGAACAATATTTATTTTCAAATTTACGATGTAAATCTACATGAAAACTAAACAATAATACAAACTTAAGACTTTCAAAATATGAACTTTATTATTGGTTTTACTAGGATATAAATTCAATGGTCTATAAAAACGGGAATTGAAATCTGTAAAATTACGTTTTATTTACGTAAAAATAATTCAAACGGATGTTCCATGCTTTTCAATCATCACAAAAGTCAACATTCAGACGACAGACAGATAGTCCATCAACAAAAAGGATATGAGCTATATATCTTAATTTTTGGAATATACGGCGATACAATGGAACCCGCGATATAATGAGAATTGACGGTATAGGACGCATTCTAACTGTGGTGAGGGTTTGTCCCGAGACACAGTTAGATTATTCTAACTAGCCCACACTAACTGTCGTATCATCGATATATTTAGATGGTTTTTTTCAAAGAAAGATTATAAAACTTAACTTACTCGCCCTCGATGAAAAAGCACAGTGCCGGTAGAAGCCATCTTTGATCCAATACCAAATCCCACACACAACAAATCATTTCATTGGTTGAAAAAAAATCCGGTGCGTCGATTTACCCAAAATAACCCAAAACGAAACCAAAAGGATCCAAAAGGACTCAAAATGAAGGGGGGCAACTGCCAACTCATTTTGAATAGGTGATATCACTTATTCGAATCGTTGATATCACCTATTCAAATAGGTGATATCACCTATTCATTCTAAATAGGTGACATCACTTATTCGATGAGGTGATACATGTAGGTGATATTACCTATTTAAATGATTAAATCAAATAGGTGATATCACCATTCACTTTCGTTTAATAACTTCTGGGGTTCTTAGAGACAAAAGATTCGAGCACGTGGCATGGAGGGGGGGGGGGGCTGCCCCCCTTTTCTCCACACATTACTTTTTACTATTGAAGACCGGTCGGCCCTTAATTTTTGACTTTTGAGCTTTGGGTACGAGTTGACTCTGGCTTTGGGTACGAGTCGGTTCGGGTACGAGTTGACTGGATACCTTGCGTGGGGGGGGGGATTCTTTCAGTACCAAATTTTATTAATACGCTACAACATAGTCATTAATCCCCCCGCCCACTTTCAAAAACGATGCTACGTCCCTGTTTGAAAATGAATACTAATAACAGAGAGAGAAACTATCAATAAATATAGCAAAACTAATACTGCAAGTAAAAATTTATAAAATTTATGTAACTTTACAGGGATCAATAGCATAAGGTATTTAAAATGTCTCGAACTAACTAGGCAGCCCGAATTTGCTTGGGGCCAATAGAAATCTCTAGGTAGTCTTGAGGAAGGGAGCATTCATCATTTAATGTTGTAAGAAATGCAAATAGGTGATATCACCTATTCGAATTGGTGATATCACTCATTCAAAATTAAATAGGTGATATCACCTATAATATTGGAAATGAATAGGTGACATCACTTATTCGAATAGGTGATATCACCTATTCATTTCCAGTAGGTGATATCACCGATTTGAAAAGGCTATATCACCTATTTGAATAAGTGATATCACCTATTCGAGTAGGTGATATCACCTATTCGATTTGAATGAGTGATATCACTTATTCAATTTGAATGAGTGATATCACTTATTCGAATAGGTGATATCACCTATTCGAATAGGTGATATCACTAAATGGCAATAAATACCAGAACGGCGCTTCATAGAACTCGGCTATAGATAGCTTGTCTTTCTCCGGAAGACGGAACCGGATTTAAAATTAGCTTTATTATCGATGGTGGAATAAAACCATTAGCAGGTTACACAAATCTGTTAAATCTGTCGTCTGAATGTATTTTTAATTACACATGTACTTATAAATAAATATTTTACAGACCACACGAGGTTAATGTATGTTTTATTTTATACTGCATACTGCTGAAGATATTTTTTCCTTATTTGTAGTTTGATACTGAAAATGCAGTAAGCTTTCTACGCCGAATCCTATTGTGATGTCAGCAAACCAGCTCTTTCAGAAATCTCTTTTGCTGCTTAAATGGATATTATTACAGTTTGTCTGTAAAAGAACAACTTTAAATTTTAACGGGATTCCGGATTACCGGATTAAGAACGAAATTGAAAATATATAAGCATTATATAGGAAATGAATTTTGGTACAGGATAACAATCAGTTTTTCTCATTTCTTTTTCCGTTCATTTTCTTTGGAGGTGTTCTTGATGTGAAAAATAAATAACAAGACGTACTTTCTTGTCACCGTTAAGTATCCGTCCATGTATTACTTTACTTCTGCAATTTGAAGTGGTTTTTTTTTGTCCCCCGCTTTCACTGGAAGTGGGGGATATTAATTTGGGTCTGTCTGTCCGTCCGTCCCTCTGTATTTCTGTCTGTCTGTAACGCTTTCGTTTCCGCGCGATTTCTCGAGAACCCTTTGAGCTTTCGCAATGAAATTTTGCACAGCAACTCCCTATGGCCTAAAGAAGAACCCTATTGATTTTGAGGTCAAAAGGTCAAAGGTCAAGATCATAAATTCTGTATGTTTTTAACACTTTCGTTTCCGCGCGATATCTCAAGAATCCTTTGAGCTTTTAAAATGAAATTTTGCATAACAACTCCCTGTGGCCTAAGGAAGACCCCTATTGATTTTGAGGTCAAAAGGTCAAAGTTCAAGGTCGTAAATTCATACATTCCGTCAGTGTGTAACATTGTCGTTTCCGGGTGATATCTCAAGAAGCTTTTGAGCTTTTGCAATGAAATTTTATACCATAACTCCCTATGACCTCTCTTGCCCCTCTCAAAGTGTCCCGTCCCGCTTTTTTTATTTATTTATTTATTGTATTAAAAGTCGCTTGGCACTATTTTTAGCACAGGGGCATGTGAAGAATTATTACGTATAATACAGCTTGTCGGCGGACTTTATATCCTAATTACATCTATTATAACTGTTTAGTAAAGGCTAACTTAGACAACATTTATTGTGTTAAATTTTGACAATATCAAACGTAAATATAAACATTATATGTGACTTAATGTTTGCATTTAATGTGCTGTATAATCAAGTGTCTCCGTGGTCTAATGGTATGTTGCTCGCTTAGCAAGCGAGAAGCGATTCTCTCTCTCTCTTGATTTTTTTTTTTTTGATTTACTAAATGATACTATTCAACATGTGAAATGAAAACGTTATGATGTCTGGCGTGTACAAACTCATAAAATCATTATTACAGTGTGATAAATATTCTGTATATTAAAAAGAATCTTCTGTACACATATTAAAGAATAAGCAATCAAATCTCTATATCCAAATTGGCATTTTTTAAATTTGCTTCAATATACATGTATATATACATTTAATAATTCTACAAATACAGGGGGGGGGGGGGGCAGTGTGACCCCCCCCCCCGAACTGCGCATGCTCTTCTTCTCAGTTTTCCCTATCGCGGGGGACACAAATTCTCTGAATTAGCTTGTTTTTCTCAATTCTATATGCTTGATTTGAGATAAACTCTAAATTATATTGAAAAAAAACCCAGGAATTTTCAATTAATATTTTCAAAAATAGCCCAAAATATTATACTAATAACTAAAACGTAAATTTCAATATTAAATAAATAATAATGTGCATATATGTTATTTCAGTGCAAAATACATGTACCAGTGTTTAGTGGAACCTTTAAAAAAATTGAACGTAAAAAAGAAAATAAGCCATTATCTTGGCACTCTCTACCATCGGCTCATACATTCACCTCTGTTGTTGGCTCGCGTATCAGTGGCGGATCCAGAAGTCCATGTGGGGGGGTTTTGAGGCCCGTAGGGCCGAAGGGGGAGGGCATGGGAGGGGGTGTCCCCCTCCCATAGGTGGGGGTTCGGGGGGCCTCCCCCGAGAAATTTTCTTTAAATATGGCTCCAAATGATGCATTTTCCAGCATTTTAGATTGAATTAGTTAGTTTTGGCCACTTTTTTTTCTAGTTGTTTTTCAAGACCAACCTACCCAAATTTTCAAGAAATTGAACAAAAAAAAAAAAAATAAAATAAAATAAAAAAAAAAAAATAAATAAAATAAAAAAAAATAAAATAAAATAAAATTTTGGGATTATTTTTAACTCGAAAAATGAGACTTTTCTAAAGAAAAAATTAAATTTAAATCTGATAAAATTAGAAATATCGCCATTTGATATATAATATCCAATTCTTCATTTTAAAATGCACGTCCAACACGCTTTATCTACCAAAATACAACTGCATGATGTGCAATTTTCCAACACTTACAAAATTCGAATTCTGTGTAGAAACCCTAATTACTTTTTTCAACTACTTCACTATACTGTTCATATAATTTGCAGTATATAAACAAATAATGATATTTCATATTGAAGAATGAATATAAATTATTTTGGGAAATTGTTGGAATTATTGCTTATTCATTGGGGGGGGGTAATTATAATTTCTAACATAAATGCACTCTTTAATTCTTTTTTTTTTACCCACTTACCTGTTTTGAAAAAAAAAGTCTTGAAAAACATCAATAAAAAAGTGACCAATTTTTGTTTTTGACAGGACCTCTAATTTATACGTATCAGTTTTACCACAATTCATTATACAAAGTTGTAACCATTATTTGGGTTTTATTCAACATCATTCAACTGTAATTAAAAAAATGCTTTTTAAAATTGCATTGTAACTTCCATCAACAAAAGGAATACTTTCAATGTGCTTTTTGGTACAGGTCACAATGTAAACAACTAGACAGTATATGTCCCTGATGTATTAATTAATTTTTTTTTTTTCTAAATAATAATCACAGTTTATTCACGTAGTTCAATAACGTAACATTCAGTTATCGAAGAAAGAAGAAAATTCTCGAAACAATATTTCTTCAGCAATACCAAAACAAAACCGTAATAACTAAGTGCAGTTTTGGTTGTTGTGTATGACGTTGTGTCTTCACTAGCTGCACGGACTATCATGATCTCTGTACTGTTGATTACCCCTGTGTACTGTGTGCGCTCAAGCGGAAAGGGATTTCGCATGGTGGCTGTATATTTCACCTCTTTGTGTACAACAGTGGGTTGGATAGAGTCGCATTTATGCAATATATTGTTAAAATGACACTTGTAAAAATTTTTTTTTGATCGGGCGGGGGGGTTTTCCCGAACCCCCCCAAACCCCCCTGAATCCGCCACTGCGTATATATCACAGTGATAAACACGAGAAATAGTGCGTTTGTTTAAATTCATTACTAAATATATCTAGAACTATTAGTTTAATTTGAAATAATCCTTGGAATGTCATGTTTTTTACGTTATGTCAAAAATCTTGACGTGAGCCCATCGCAGAGGTGTCTGAGAGAGAAACTAGCGACAATTCTGCAAGGGAGATTGTTATCTTGGTAAAAAATCTAATACGTTGTAGTTAAATTAGATCGGGGTCAAACGGTAAACTGCATGTATCCTGAAAGGATAAATTGAAATAACTCCTAAAGTAAAGAAATTCAGAAAACATGCACATTTTACTCAAAATATATATGTTAAACTAAAGTAGAAACATGTACAAAAAGCAGTTTAATTGCATTAAATTATAATATTTTACCAGCCTACTCTAGCGTACTCTGTATAACTTACTCTAGCGTATTCTGTCTAGTAGGACCGGGTGTTTTGTTACTTCTCAAAGAAAAGTTGCAACAGTAAAAAAATATGTTTTTGCTAACTTCATATAAACTATATAATATAAAGTTCATAATTAACTTCAAATTATTAATTTTCAATAGATAATTTTAAGTTCTCTTGTGTTCCTTTTGGGTCCTTTTGGGTCCTTTTGGGTAAATCGACGCGCCCAAAAATATCTGCCAAACCAATGAAAATTGCGATTTCTTGTGTATCCATTTAATGGAACTCTTTTACGAAGAAGGTACAGTCAAGTCTATTTTACACAAGGTCCAGAAGCATTGCCATTTAGTAAGTGTATATTTAAGAAAAAAGGAAATAAAAAACGGCATTTAGGAGCGATGTCCAAGAAAAGACCTGCAAATGACTCATCATGGAGCGGAGGCAACACAACTTACAAGGACAAGATGGTACAGATGACCCAACAAGAACGATTGATAGAAGAAAAAAGAAAAAAGATAATGGAGAAAATGCAGTCTCAGCCCCCTCAACCTGCAATTCCCCAAAGTTCATCGTATGTAGCTATATTTATGATACATGAATTGAACAGAAGTGAATTTTTTCATAGAGTTAAATATGGGTTTTTAAAATGAAAATTTGGCTTAAAATCAGAGCTCAAGTTAACCTAAAGTAGTTTTTTTTATGGCTCACCTGAGCCGAATGCTCAAGTGAGCTTTTCTGTTCAAAGAGTGTCCAACGTCCATCTGTAAACTTTTCACATTTTTGACTCCTTCTCAAGAACCACTGGGCCAATTTCAGTGTTTCATAGTGTAGACAGGTCCAGCACAATACCCTGATAAAGGTATATAGCTTGATAAAGCTATATAGCTTTATCAAGGTATTACGAATACCTTGATCAAGGTATTTTATGTTATGAAAATACAAAAAAAAATTCTAAAAAAATAAATACTGAAAATCGAGTTCTGAGTTGTTGTCAGTAAATTCACTCATGCATGTAAAGTACTCAAACACAAAGAAATCAGAATAAAAGTATGTCCTTTTATGCTGTCTTTTTGATACTTGAGTACTTTTCATGCACTAGTGAACACACTGACCACAACTCATAATTCGACTTTTAAATTTAATTTTTTTAAGATTATTTTTTGTATTTTCATGACATAAAATACCTTGATCAAGGTATTCGTAATACCTTGATAAAGCTATATAGCTTTATCAAGCTATATACCTTTATCAGGGTATTGTGCTGGACCTGGTAGATATTTTACTAATTCATTTTCTGTAGGTTGTCATACAAACACCACTAGGGCTGGGACGATACAACTTTTTCTCGCATAATCACCAGTGTAAGATTGACTTGTCCGGTGTGAGACAGCAGTGTGAGATTTTTCTGTCTTACACTGTGTATTACTACGCCACGAACGATAACGTAAACATTCCGTCTTTATATAAAGAAATTGTAACAATGTTAAAAAATATTACATATACTTAAAATGTTGTCATTTAACTTATTAAGATAAACTTATTTTCATTCAAAATATTGTCGTATTTTCACTTTTTAAATGGCACTATTTTTAGATCGCGGAAGGATTCTTCTTGAATGAATGTGTACGCTATCGGATAGATAAGTTTTTTTATTCCCAGTTTTTATCTATCTAATTAATTTACATGGACTGTAATTCATTTTATCAGTTTACACTACGTGTAAACCATTTTCAGGTACGCTCTCTCCGATGGTGTATTTAGATTTTTAATTAGATGGAAAATTAAAAGAATATATTTTTAGCCCTATCATGGCGACGTCATTGACAGGCCGTTATTTTGGATAAAATAAATGCGAGAAAAATAATCATTCATTACATACTCATGTGGTAGGGCTGTCACGGTTCCAAAATTTTTCGGGTCGGGTCGGTTCTGTAAATTTTCGGTTCGGTTTCGGGTTTTTCGGGTTGGGTATTTACATCTATTTTAAACCTTAATTTCATGAATTTAACTTGAAAAATCTTTATTTGCTACATTAAATTTACATTGAAAACAAGTCTTAACCATGCGAACGTCTAGACATCGGTGATTTGGCCTACTATTAGCCACAACCTGACCATTCCTGCTTGTTTTGATAATTATCTAATACTTCCGTGACAAGTGTTTTGTCATGGAATGAAGTAGATTTCAGTTCTGATGTTTATTTATCACTGTTATCGTCATCATTCCTTTGATTTCGACGCCATTTTTTGTATTGAACAGACTCTAATATATAAACCAGACCCGAACCGAAATCCGGAAAAATGGAACCGGAACCGAACCGAACAACTTGGACCGCGGTTCTCGGTTATTTCGGGTACTCCTGACAGCCCTATCGTGTGGGAATAGTGAAATTCCACCTCGGGGCCAAGATTCACGGTCTAGGACTCGGCAAAGCCTCGTCCTAGACCGTGAATCTTGTCCCCTTGGTGGAATTTCACTATCCCACACTCGTAGTAATGAATGATTCTATTATTCTATATCGATACATATCCCGATATTTGAGCCACGATACGATATGTATCACGATATGTTTAATTGGTTATAAATTCTTTTTTTATATTGAAATGAACAAGACATTTCTTCACAAATAAGAATAATTTATTCAAAGAAGTTGTGTATCTGTTGTTAAACTTAATTATTTTGGTCTTAATTATTATGTATTTCATATTCATATTTATATTAAGCATATTTATTTTACATATTAAACCCAAAATGTTAAGTTAACAAAGTAAAACATTAGTCAGAATTTTTGGGGCAATATGTCGATATTTCTTCATACGTATCGATATGCGTATCATCCTCACATTGAATCGATATTATCGATATCTCGATATATCGTCCCAGCCCTAAAAACCACACATGATAATTTGTATGGAGTATATAGACATGGGCAGCTCAACAATATATAGTTGATATTCAACAGTTTTGGAATTGACCAAGTTCAATTGGCAGTGTTGGTAAAAAAAAAAATTACACCCAAATTTTGCCATCTTTATCGCAAACATGGAATATATGTCATATCATAAAGTAAAATCTATAACAAAAAAGGTATTAATGCTAAATCTTGCCATGGGTCTGACAAAATCAAACAAAATGAAAATGCATGTTGCCTTCAAACCCAATCAATAAATGTACAGGTATAATAATTTAATGACTGCTCATCACATTAATTTTATTGGTGGTGGGGGGGGGGGGGGGCTCAAAGATATCTGAACAGTAAATTAAAACAAAAAACAGATGTATAAACTATAATAAAGTAATTATGTAATATCCTTTCTGGTACATTTAAAGTCTGTATGATTTTATTATACAATGTATATACAACTTCCAATTTCTCTTCCTCCTTCAAAAAAAAAAAATGCAACAAAACCCTGAAGAAGAATATTTGATAATAATAGTATTTTTCTTTTATCTTTATTGATTCACAAGTTCTTTCACCAGTGCTTGCACAAGTGAATGTCTAGTGATACATGTATTTTATTTTTCTGCCATTTCCACTCATTATTTTTTTTCAATTTTGGTTATTCATTTATTTAAAACTTAAAAACTATTTTTTAAAAACTTTCATGTCAGTGGGGGCATTCGTATCACACTGACACATGTATTTTTGAAATATACTGTATATTGATGTCTTTTTTAAAAGGACTGTGAAGAAACCAGGTCTTCCTTCATGGATGAAGAAATCTAAAGCTACAAAAGAAATAGAAAAAGAGAAGGCTACTCCCAGTCCTGAATTTTTTTCCAATGATGGAAGTTTTATGGAGAGATTTTTGGCAATGCAAGGTATTAAATAAATGAAAAAGTTTTTATATATTTTGGTTCAAAAGAGCTTTCTTGATTGAAGAGTGCTCTGTGTCCATCTGAATGTCATGTTTTTGTTACTTTTAAACATAGAGAATTTTTCTAGAACCACTGTGCCAATTTCAAATAAACTTGGAAGAATGCCTTTTGGGGTATAGGAGATTCAGAATTGTTCAAATAAAAGAGAGGGGATAATTAAGAAATAGTGATAAATTGAGAGCATTTTTAAAAAATCTTATTTAGAACCACTGCGCTAGTAATTACAAACATTTGTGAAAACTTACTGAGTACTGACATAGTTTAGCATTTTTAGCTCACCTCAATGAAATTGGGGGAGCTTGTGTAATATCCCCAGCATTGGCATCAATATACTAGCTTTAAGTTTTTGGAGCAGATTTCTTTTCAAGTACTTCTATGCCCTTTATTGATCAGAGATGCATGAACGATGCTTGTATGTTTCATTATACCAGTCCAGATTTCAGATGCTACATTTTTATCCAAAGAATGGCCAGGTTAATGTTTTTGGAGCAGGTTAATGTTTTTGGAGCAGGTCTCATTTCCAAGTAAATATAAGCCCTGTATTGACCAAACTTGCAGGGATGATACATCTAAGGATGCACACTACCAGACTTGCTTTGGATGATGGATCTGACCTACATTTTTCAGATGAGTGACCAGGTTAAAGTTTTTGGAGCAGGTTCATTCTAAGGTAACTATTAGCCCTATTTTCACAAACTTGCACGGATGATACATCTAAAGATGCACACTACTGGACTTGCTTCAGTTGCTGGATCTGACCTAAATTTTCTGGATGAGTGACCAGGTTAAAGTTTTTGGAGCAGATTTGTTTTAAAGTAACTATAAGAACTATGTAGACCAAACTTGCATCGATCATCTAAGGCCAAACAAAAAAATATGTGTGGTTCCGGTTACACTTCCAAAAAAATTAGGGTAGGTAGGTAAGGAATTTTTTTTTTTTTAACAAAATGATTTTCTTAATTTTTCTAAATAATACCTATCACTGCTTTTCAAATGGCATTTAGATGTGGTGTGATAATATACTAGTCAATATTGGTAGGGGACACCTACATGCTAGCTTGCTTTGGATTTAACACTATTAAATACTAGAACTATGTTTTGCAAGGAGGCCACCATTGCTGAAACTAAAACTTAAACCGGAGCCATTGATGGAAATCGGGGAAAATTCCGGAAAAAATATGAAAATTGCCAAAAAAAAGTTTAGGGTCGGGGGTATAAAATAGGGAAGGTCGGGTAACCGGAACCACACATATTTTTTTATTTGGCCTAAGAACGCACTCTACTGGACTTGTTGGGATGCTGGATTTGAATGATTTTAATGTAATTAAATAGTAGTTCTCCAGAATATCATTTACATCACATGATTAAAGTAACCAATCGGGTAACGCTGACAGTTGAGCACCATCATTCTTGAAGTCAGCATCTAAGCAATATTACCTACGGTTCCTTTAAAATACTTTAAATTCAAAATGGTGATTTATTTCCTGCAGATTTACAGTAATTATGTTTGATTAAGTGTAACATTGCACATTTAGTGGAATATCACTGCAGGAAAAACTATTGATAAATGATATTTATCATGTGTGTGCCAATGTGCTTGTGTTTACACTGACACGCACCATTGCATGCATAACAAATATTGACCTTAATCTTTAATATCTGTGTTTTGTGTTTTGTGTCGTATATAAACAATGACAGGAAGAAAAAGTACTTCTCAAGCCCAGAGAGTGTGCACGCACAGTGAAAATATGACCAGATGTGAAACGAGCCCTACAATTGGTCGTCAGCTGAATTGGTTAACAAACTCATGATGGCCAACATTGTGCCACTTGACTATCACTCAAGAAATCACTCCTAACCTTGCTCTGTCAAAAAAATATGATAAACTCGAAATGTATAAAAATTGCCTTTTTCTCATGGGCACAATTATATTACTTTGAAACTGAAGTATTGAAAAACTGATCATTTTGCACTGACAAAAAAGATATGGAATGAAAAGTAACTGACTGTTAAATGTGATGTGTATTATTTATCAGACACACATAAGAATTGTGAATTTCAAAATTACATGGAAAGCTGATTCTGAGAATGGTTATTTTTCAGCTGCAGCAGCTGGAAAATCAAGCTCTAGTTTAGAAAAAAGTGAAAAGAAAGCAGAAAAAGGAAGTAAGCCTGACACAAAAACCATGACTATAAAGGACCTAAAAAAGGACTCGCAGACTGTGCAAGCAATTTCTAGACCTGAGTCAAAAACTTACAACCAACCAAGACAAATTGATGATAGAGCTTCAAAAGATGCTGGAAATAAACCAGGAATCATAGGACAAGATAATTCTTCAGCAAGTCAAACCTCTGCAAATAGTCAGAAAATGCTTCAACCTTGTCCATTGAGGCCTCCTGCACCTCAGAATAATGTTAAGGGGCCAGCTCCACAGCAACAAGTGCCTACCAGTCTACAACAGGCTCCCCATTCTCCAACTCACCAGCAGCAACAACAGCAGATTGGGCCTCCTCAATTTCATGCAGGTCAACAGCAACCTCCCATTAGGCAACCATCTAAATTGCATCCTGGTGGACCTCCAACAGGACAGTTACTGCCAGGTCTGCAGAATCCTAACTTCCAACAAAATCCTCCTCAGACACCTCCTAATGTAACTTTACCACCACATTCAGTGGCTTATTCAAAAGCTCCAACATTGCAGGAAAATCCTTCTTTCTTGCACCCAAATCCAAATACCCCAGCTCAGCAAACCAGATTTGGAGGTCCACCTCTACCTGGACCCAACTCGGGAATATTTTCTCAAGGACAGCCTCCTATGCCTCCTGGTTCACAGGCTCCCCATTTTGGTCCCCCAAATTCTTTTGGCGCACCTCCTCCTCCACAGTCTCAAAGACCTCCTGTTCCTGGAACATATGGACCTCCTCCAAATCCTCCACCTCCACAAGGTTCAGGGAATTTTCCTCCATCATCTACTTCACCACCTTCTCAGTTCAGTGGCTATAATCAACCACCTCCTCATCCAAATGCTGGCACTTTTCCACAAAATCAACCACCTGCCCAAAATTATGGAGGACCTCCTCTCCCTCCACAAGTAGCACCATTTGGCCAGCCCCATACACAACCACCTCAAATGAACTCTGGACCATTTGGTAATATGCCTAATTCACAAGTTCCTAATAGAACCCCTGCTACACCAAATTCATTTGGGGGACCACCACCTCCTCCACAGATGGCAAATTTTGGAGGTCCCACCCAGTGTACACATCAGGGTCCCCCTCCTGGACCCCCTCCACCAGGAAGCTTTCCAGGACAACCTCAGGTATTGCCTCCCCAGTCATCAGCTACATTTGGTATGCCACCAAGTGGACCTACTCCCCAAATGACCCATGCAGGGGGTATGTATGGAATGCCTCCCCAACAGCCTGGATCACATTTGCCCTCTCCTGTTAAGCCTGGGGAAGAAAGAGAGGTGTATGGAAAGTATGGTCAAATTGTTATGAAGAAGGAACAGACTGCAATCAAGCAGGAAAATTCATCATTGGACTATGATCCATCAATGCCCACAGAAGGTGACTCACCAGGTAAAGACATAAGTGAAATTTATGAAGAAACTATAGCATAATGGAAAATATGAAGTGTTTTTGAGAGTGATCACTTTTCATTATTTTTACCTGTTTCATTCAATGCCATTTAGTTTAAACCCAGATATTTTTCTTTGCAGTTAAGCTTGCCTCTGATGATGACATCAAGCTAGAAAGAGACCAGAAATCCTTGTAAGTTGTAGACTAAGCCTTTAATATCTTTTTAATTCACCTGAGCCAATGACTCAGATGAGTTTTTCTGAGTGAAATTTGTCCGTGTCTATTGTTGCTGTCATAAACTTTTAACATTTTCATCTTCTCCAGAACCACTGGGTCAATTTTCATCAAATTTACATTACAAAAAAAAATCATAGCCATGTTCACAGTGGTGCAAAAGTAACATTATGTCATAATTTATCTGTTGAAGTATCATTTATAAGATGGAAGATAAAACCTACTTAAAGCTGGAGTAGAACCATAAAAATTCAGGTTTGACAACTCCTAACGTTACTTTATCAAGATCCATGAAAAATCAAAATATATAAAAATGGCCATAAGCACCTTTTTCTTATAGGCGCAATCATACAGGTTTTTTGAGAAATGGTTTTGTGCTTTGAATTTACAATGCCGTAAGTGTTCTATTTTATAAAACTATTACAGTAATAATAAGGCACCATTGTACTAGAATCGTGTAAAAAAAAATTACAATTTCACATAATAATATTTGTATAAAGCCAAATAAAAATATGTGTTGTTCCGGTTACACCTTCAAAAAAATTAGAGTAGGTTATAGGTAGGGATTTTTTTTTAATGAATGTAAAAAATGATTTTTTTTAATATTACCTATCGCTGCTTTGCAGGTGACATTTATATGAGGGGTGATAAATATACTTATCAAGACTGGTAGGGAGCACCCTAGTTTTGACTATGAAACAAACATTTCTAAATCAAAAATTTAAAAAAAAAATCTTATTTTGATTAAAGAAAAAAGTTTGATTTAAATCATCTTCCTTTGAACATGGAGATAAGAAATTTCATTTCAACAAGTATCAATTTATTTAATTTATTCGAACTTTTAAGCTCACCTGAGCCGAAAGCTCAAGTGAGTTTTCTGATCAAAATTTTTACGTTGTCTGTCGTTGTTGTCATCTTCATTGTCATTCATTTTTTACAATTTCATCTTCTTTTCCAGAACCGCTGTGTCAATTTCAACCAAACTTGGCACAGAGTATCCTTTGGTAAAGGGTGTTCAAGTTTGTTCAAATGAAGGGCCACACCCCCTTCAAAGGGAAGATGATTACCGTATATATACTTGCCTATAAGATAGTTTTTTGGGAGTTAAACTTTGGTCCAAAACTCTTTGTCCAACTTATAGGCGAGTTATAAAAAGATTAGTATTTTAGAGGGTCAAGCCCTCTAATATAAGCTTAAAAAATACAACCGACTTATAGGCGGACCGACTTATATGCGAGTATATACAGTAAGTTAAAATTGGGTGGGGTCATTTAAAAATCTTCTCAAGAACCACTGGGCCAGAAAAGATGAAAATTAGGTGAAAGCTTCCTGTCATAGTGTAGATTCAAGTTTGTTCAAATCCTGACTACTGGTGGTAGGGTGTGGCCTCTATGGGTGATCAAAGTTTTACATGGGTATATATAGGAAAAATCTTTAAAAATATTCTTCTCAAAAACAGATCAGTCCCATTTATATGGAAGCATTCATAGCTAGTGTCGATTCAAGTTTGTTCAAATCATGATCCCGGGGTAGGGTGTGGCCACTATGGGCGATAAAAGTTTTACGTGGGACATAAATTGGAGAAATCTTTAAAAATCTTCTCAAGAATAGGAAAGCCATGATTAATCTTATTTATATGGAAACATCCTCAGGTTGTGTAGATTAAAAAATTTTCAAATTATGACCCCCGGGGTAGGGTGTGGCCATTATGGGCGGTCAAAGTTTTACATGGGAATAAATTGGTAAAATCTTTGAAATTTTTGTTCTTAAGAATAGGAAAGCCATGATTAATCATATTTATATGGAAATTTACAGCTTTTTTGTTTCGAATATTTTTCTCTAGGATGTACAGGTTTAATAGAGTGTCTTGTAAGAATTCTATTTATATGTTTTCAGTATTTTGATTTATTGGTAAAGATATGACCAATCGAAACTTCCTTGCAGTGTTGGGGGTTCGAATCCCGCTAATGAGATTTATATTTTAAAATTTTTTTATTCGGAATTTAGACATGTTGCTATGCAGATGAGAGCAAGTGGTAGCAGAGTGGAAAGAAAAAGACCATCAGTGTTTGATGAAACTGATGAAGAATTCACATCAGGTATATATACTTTGTAATTTTACTGAAAATCTTAGGACAGGCATTATTTAGTGAGTAACACATTATTATCACCCTTTAGCAGAGAATGGGGAAGGGAGCAGTAAAGAAATCAGTAAAAAAAGTTTATTTGGTCATTATTTATGCACATATTCTTTTTCAACAAAAATATTCAAGTAGGAAGCCTTATCAAAAGAAGTTAAACTGAGAATAGGATATCGATCATATTAAAGAGTGGATATTATCTCGTGGAAAGTAGATACACCTAAAATTGACAGTGCTAAAAATTTGCACCATGAACCCCTGTATGGAAAAATTAAATTGATTCAAAAACACTCATTTGGGAGTCAAATCCAAGATATTGGACCAAAAAGCTCTCAAGTTAGTTGTCAAATTTTGGTCAGATGTGTGTTCGCCCTGGGAACTTTCGATACTGATAGGCTGCTTCTAGTTTCTCCCCCAGAGGATCCTGACACTGTGGTGCTGGTGGAACAGATGGCTTCCTTTTTTGCCCAGTGCTCTCCTGACAAAGAAAAGCAGGCTCTAGAAGATTACAGGGATAACTCTGTCTTCTGGTGAGTCAGTTATGTATAAACTGCAGTTAATAGATGTCGCTCTAGCTGAAACAAAGTAGATGTGTCTTAAACTAATAAGTGGCCCAAGGGTCAAAAGGCTTACCTGAGGCCCTGCTGTTCTTCGATCACTTAATTATACCCCATGCAACAAGTTGCGTGGGGTATAGTGTTTTTGACCTGTCTGTCAGTCAGTCAGTCCATCAGTCCTTTTTTTTTGTCAGCGCAACTCCTCTTAGATGGCTGCAAAGAATTTCCTCAGACTTTGCAGATATTTAGGACACAGTGTGTAGATGTGCATATTGCTAGGAAATTCTGATTCCGTTATTTTCCTGTGAATTTCGGCACTTTTCAACTTAGATTTTTGGTCATATCTTGAATATAGAAATGAACAGTTTTTCAGCGCAACTCCTCTTAGATGGCTGCAAAGAATTTCATCAAACTTTGCAGATATTTAGGACACAGTGTGTAGATGTGCATATTGCTAGGAAATTTCAATTTCGTTATTTTTCTGAAAATTTTAGCACTTTTTAACCTAGATTTTTGGCCACATCTTGAATATAGAAGTGAACAGTTTTTCAGCGCAACTCCTCTTAAATGGCAACACAGAATTTCATCAAACTTTGCAGATATTTAGGACACAGTGTGTAGATGTGCATATTGTCAGGAAATGTGATTCTGTTATTTTTCTGGGAATTTCGACACTTTTCAACTTAGATTTTTGGCCATATATCTTGAATATTGAGATGAACAGTTTGTCAGTGCAACTCTTCTTAAGCCGCTGTACAGAATTTTGTCGAACTTTGCAGATATTTAGGACACAGTGTGTAGATTTGCAGGAAATTCCGATTCCATTATTTTTGCCCTTAGAGTTTTTGCTATTAGTGAAGAAACTTTCCAGCTAGGTTATAAAGAAATCAGCTTTTGTAATGAAATTTTATTTGAAATATTTTATGACCATAAAAGACCCCTATTGATTTTGAGATGAAAATATTAATGATTCAACACACACACACACACAAAATCATGGATAGAAGTACACAAAAAGTGGCTATTTATAGAACTGAGTTAAAACCTTTTTAGGGTTAATAGGCATGTTGTATGGATGTGCCCGTCGAAGGTCATTTTGCTGGCATGTGCGATAAGAGAAATGACTGATATACGTTTATATAGCTGTAACTTTTATATTTCTTGATGAAAATGCTTTGAAACTCAAAATATAAAGATATATTAGTGAGGTAAACAAGATGACATGGTCAAATTAGCATGAACTCATGCTCATGCTCTGATTGGCTGAAACAAAAGTCTCCATTGTTTTTTGACAAAATACTTTGAAATTTAAGACATAGGTGTATATAATACAAAGGGTTCTACAATATGTTGTATGTGGAAATTCTTGAAAACACACGCATGCATGTGTGCTGCAATTTGATTGGCTAAAACTTTAAAATGGGTATAACTTCCTTAGTTTTCGACAAAACAGGATGAAAATTAGAATACAGATAAGTACAATGGGTTTGTACAAAATGGCACTATCAAAATTAAATGTGAGGACATGCTTGCATGTGTGCTGAAATCTGATTGGCTAATACTTTATAGGCTGTGTCCCTCGTACTATTCAATATAATTCTTTGAAATTTTAAACATAGTCATACATTAGGAAGTTCTACAATATGATATAATTGAAATTTTGTGAAAAGATGCGCATGCACGTGTGCTGTAGTTTGATTGGCTGAAATTTTAAATGGCCGTAACATTCTTAGTTATCAACAATACAGGGTGAAATTTAGAATATTGATAGGTATAATGGGTTCCAACATTATGCTGCTATCAAAATTGAATGCAGGAACATGCATGCATGTGTGCTGGATTCTGATTGGCTAATACATATATGACTGTATCTTTCATAGTTTTCAATGAAAATCCTTGAGAGTTCACACAAAGATATTGATTGTGAGTCTCTTTACAAGAAAGACATGAGAAATATCTAGAAAACTTGGGAAAGGACGTGCGCTGAGATCTGAATGCTAATACTCAAAGGATTATACTGGCATTGTTTTTCAATATATTACTTTTGAAAATAAAGTGTAGATTTATTAAGCAAAAAAAAATAAATGAAGCTTGTTGGGAATGGGACCAAAAGTGGAGTAGGGGAGCATTGGGGGAACATCTGTAACGGTTTCCATTACAATTAGAACTATTTTTTGGTATGATTGATAGACAGTATAGGTAGACATGACAGCATGCCATAAATAATTGCATCCCAACCAATAATATCTAGAAAGTGGGGGACCACAGTTCTCTGAATTTGAAAATGTTTTCATTAAGGTTCCTGTATGAAGAGACTAGTCATGCACACCAATACTTCAAATTTAAAGTGGCAGAGCTTAAGAAGCAGATTGGAGATGGCAGTGAAGCTGACTCAGAGGATGTGGATGGTATGTTCATTTGAAAAAGTATTCTCCAAATTTAATCCAGTTTATGAATCTTCATTCATTGCTTTATAGAAGTCATACTTCCACTACATCTTTCATTAAGAAGAAAAAGGAAAAACCATGCTTTATGTTTAGGTCACCTGAGTCACTCAGGTGACCTATTGCTATCCGATTTTGTCTTTGTCTTTACTCCTGGACATCAAGCAGCCAAACTGTTGGCATGATTGTAATAAGCATTGAGCCCTCTACCAAAATTGTGAAATTCATGGCCCCAGGGTCAGGGGTTCCTCTGCTCTGACTCTGGGAATTAAGTAATCAAACTAAGCATGCTAAGCATATAGTTATGTTGAGCAATGGTGCCTCTTTCAAAATTATGAATTTCATGGCCTCTGGATTAAAAAACGAACCAAATTCATTTGTTGAAAAGTTGTTATATGATACTCAGGTGACCTATAGGGCCAGTGGGCCCCTTGTTTAGTTTGTTCACCATACATTGTATTCTGCATCTTTTGTACTGTTTATGTAAGAGACAACATTGTCTTGATTTTCTGATAATTGTTTTTGTATTGTGGAAACTAGTGACTGCACAGCTGTCTCAGGTTCGTCACCTTTGAGAGTTTAATCATTGCCATTAACGGCCATTGTTTCAGAGTCTATGCTCTTGTCTCTGCTCATGTCACCACTAGATATTATTTATTAAGGAAAGTTCCAATGATAATTAATCGATCTTGGAATCACTTCAAATAAGTCCGGTAAGGTTCACACGAATAATCTAACTTAACCATTACACTAAACTAAGAAACAAATACATGTAAATCATAAAAATCCAAGAGCGTAAAATTTTGCTGCCTCATGAATCACATTTGCTTTATCTATGAATCACATGGTCAGCTTATCATCTCATTTGAGACTGAGGCACCCAATATGGAGAAGAATGTGGAATTTTTAGCGAGATGCAAATTTAGCGATTTATCCCCAAAAACTGGGATTTATTTTTAGCGAGAAGTAATTTTGGTGATTTTATCATGTCAAGAAAGATGGCTAAAACAACCTATATGGAATAAATTGTTAGAGATATTCAATTTTAGCAATTTCAAAAAAATCGTTAATAATGCCAGAATTGAACCCTCGATAAAAATTCTGCTTATACAAGGGTATTACATTGTTAAATATGCTTAGTTTGCTTATTAATTTTTTTAAATTTGATTATTTATTTTTTGTAGGTAAATCTGCTTCTGGATTTAAATTGAGGAGAAAAAAGAGGAGTAGGTGGGGCCCTCAGGATGATCAGCAGTCAGCACTTCCAGTGGGGATAGCCATTTCCCAGGGTTTGGGCACTAATGGTAAACTTGAAGGCTTAAGAGCAATACATCAAGACAGGCTGGGTTTAATCTCTCTACATCATAAGAATTCAAATAAGTTTTCACTCGTTTACAAAATAATTTGTTGAAAGTTAATATCTGTTATTGGCTTTAAACAAGATAAACAAGTTTTGCAGTAGGTAAACTACTATAGCAAAAAAACATTCAGTTTTGCTGAACAAGGCTCAAGTGAGCTCTCTGCTCAGAGAGTGTTTGTCAGTCATGTGTCAGCTGCCTTACATAAACTTTTCACATTTTTCTAGAATCACAGGGTCACTTTCAGGCAAACTTCTCACATTTGAGGCATCCTTAAGTATTTCAAGTGAAAGACCGCTGTATACTCTCTTTGAAAGAAGAAGTAATTTATAAACAAATTGCTTAGAATAAAATGGGGTCCTCTTAAATGTTCTTTTCAAGAACTACCAGACCAAAGACAAAACTTATTTGAAAGTTTTTTTTATATATATTGTTGATACAAATTTGTTCAGAACATGGCCCTGAGGCTTGAGTGCATGCAACCACAATAGGGTGTCAGAGTTCAACATAAAAATAAATAGAGAAAATAATTATATAACATCAGCAATACCAGAGTTTGTTATATTAATATGCAAGTATATAGTGAAGGATCAAATTAGTTCAAATTGATGCCTCATATGGCTAGGATAGGGCCACAGTAGGAGAGACTGAAGTTTTACATGGGAATACATAGGGAAAAAATCCTTCTCTAGTATATTAGTTTCAAAAAGCTAGGGCCACAAACCATCAAAATGTGCCTTAAATTGTAGACAAAATTCAAGTTTGAAATCACAAAGCCTATTGTATGCTAAATTGTAATGCACAATACAAAATGCATTGACCAGTCAGTTGAAATATTACTTTGCTTGATACCTGCTGATTACTTTCCCTGCTTATCCACATACTGCAAGAAAATAACAAAGAACTGACAGAGTCTCTTTTTTGCCAGTTGTCAAGTCAAGGCCACCTCAAGTGACTTTGCAGGACTTTGCCAGGAAAATGGTTGGCAGTGATTCATTGAATGAGGATCAGATAAAGCAAATTCGTCACCAGCAAGAGGTAAACAATATTGGACATTGTTACAGAAATGTAAAGTTAAAGAGATTTGAATAAAACACATTTGACAGGTAAATATGATTTCTAAAATCTTTTTAACATACAGTTAAACTAGCTTATAGGGAAATGTGAGGGATGGACAATTTTGTTTCATTATAAATGTTGTTAGGATCCTGCAAGGTTCTTCCATCCGCTGATTTTATGTTTTTCTTAATAACTTTTTTTATGGTCATCCTATGAAGTTCAGAAGGAGTAAGACATATTTTGATGCTAAGTTTGTTTCTCTATGTCATCATCTGGTCTGGAGCTGGGGTGGTGGGGGTAAATTCCTTAACTTTATATAGGAATGAATGGGCAAAGTTGGTGATCAAGTTTATTGCAAAACATGTTATATTTTGTATGTTTAACTTTTCCTTCATGTCTATTTAGTCCCTCTCTTTGCTCAGTACCAAATCTCATGGTACTTGGGAAAAGTTTTCCAACTTATATACTTATCTTATGTATCCAAAAATTTAGGAAGGGCTATGTATTGATTATTTGATGGGCAAGAGCTCCAGGGTCATCCCTACCCCCACCACCACTCTCCATTAGATTTAGCTCACATGAGCTGAAGGCTCAAGCTTTTCTGATCAAAATCTCTGTCATTGTTGTTGTCTTTGTCGTAAAGTTTTTACAGAATCATCTTCTCAAGAACTGCTGAACCAATTTAAACAAAACTGCATCGAAGTATCCTTAGGTAAAGGAGATTAAAGTTTGTTCAAAGGAAGGGTCAAGCCCTCCTAAAGAAGAGATAAGAACAACTGAAAATTTCAAAATTTTCTCCTCAAGAACCACTGAGTCAGAAAAATTCAAACTTATATGTGCAAGCTTCCTTACAGAGTGTAGATTCAGTTTGTCCAAATCATGACCCCAAGGAATAGGGTGGGGCCACAAGAGGCGATCAAAGTTTAACATGAGAATGTGTAGGGAAACCTTATAGCACGTCTACAGATGATTAGGCTACTGCGTAAAATGTAAGAGGAGTTCTGGGAACCAGGGGCTTTTTGTATAAAAAAAAAAAATGTCATTTTTCGACCCCATGTGACCCCCAGGGCGAAAATGAAAATTCTGAAACCTTACTGCACATCTACAGGACACCACCTGTCCTGACATTTTTAGCTCTTCTGAGCCAAAGAGCTAATGCTATGACCATTTGTGCAGTGTGCATCAACTTTTTAGAATATGGGCCATATCTCAAGAACCCCATAGGCAATTAGAGCCTTGCAAGGTCACTTCAAAGTTGACCAAAAATTATGTTTTGTAAAATCTTTGATATTTTGCTTACTATAGGGACTAGGATCATCAAATCTTGTCAGTTAATGCATCTTAGGACCTCCTATCATGTTGACTCAAAAGTAGGTCACAGTGACCTACTTTTTGAATTTTGCAGGCATTCGTTTTCAAATTGTTAAAGAGGCATTTTTTTGACAATTAAAGACCTATGATCATCAAACTTTGTCAGTTGATGCATCTTGGGTCCTCCAAGTATGTCAGCTAAAAAGTAGGTCACTGTGACAAAATATTTAAGGCCATTATTTTAGATACTGAGAGGTTTAGAATCATCAAACCCAGGAAGTTGATGCATCTTGGAGCCTAAAAACATATTTTTAAAAAAGTAGGTCACATTGACCTTCTTTTTGAACTTTGCAGGCATTCATTTTCAAAATTGTTTTAGAGGCATATTTTAGACATTTTAAGGTCTATGATCATCAAACTTTGTCAGTTAATGCATCTTGGGTCCTTGGAGTAGGTTATCTGAAAAGTAGGTCACTGTAACCTAGTTTTGAAATTTTATGGCTATATTTAAGTATTTCAGGCACTAACTTGTTTAGAATTATCAAACTTTGTCAGTTGATGCATCTTTGGTCCTTGGAGTATGTCAACTGAAAAGTAGGTCACTGTGACGTACTTTTGAAATTTTATGGCTATATTCAAATATTCCAGGTACTAATTGTCTTAGAATTATCAAACTTGGTCAATTTATGCATCTTGGTCCTTGGACTATGTCAACTAAAAACTAGGTCACAGTGACCTAGTTTTTGAAATTTTATGGCTATATTTAAGTATTCCAGGTACTAATTAGCTTAAAATCATCAAATTTTGTCAGTTGATGCATCTTCAGTCCTCGGAGTACGTCAACTCAAAAGTAGATCACGGAGACCTACTTTGGAATTTTATGGCTTTATTTAAGTATTCCAGGTACTAATTTGCTAAGAATCATTTAACTTTGTTAGTTGATGCATCTTGAAACATGACCTACTTTTGGAATTTTAAAGCTATATTTGAATATTTTCAGAAAGCTGTATAAAAAATTAAACTTACTTCAATAGCTTGAGTGAGTAAGTTAACTACGGATTAAACAGGACTGCTGAGTTGGAAAGGGGGGAATTAACCACACTATGTGCTGATCATTACTTGAACACGACAAAAGAGAATTTTAAAGGGGGGGATGTTAATGACAAAATGTGGCTGAAATATTTGTCCTATTCATGTATTTTTTTTTTGCCATCTTGCAGTCTTTGTGTGTGTGTGTGTTGGGGGGGGGGGGGGGTGTTCTAAATAAAAAGAACAAAAATTTTATAACGTCATATCATGATCATTTTATTTACTGCCCTGTGTTCTTAACATGCATCTCTGAAGCATTTCATCGATTTTTTTATGCCCCCATATCGAAGATTCGGGGGTATATAGTTTTTGTTTGTCTATTTATCTGTTTGTCCGCAAAAACTTTAACATTGCTCATAACTTTTGATTGGTTGGAGCTATGGCTTTCGTATTTCAAATGTGTATTCCTTGTGACAAGACCTTTCTTTGGTACCATCATATTTGACCTTTTGACCTTGACCTTGGAGTTTGACTCAGTTTTACAAAATTTTACCCAACATTAACCTTGGCCATAACTTTTGAACGGTTGGTGCTAGGGCTTTCATACTTCACATGTGTAATCCTTGTGACAAGACCTTCCTTTGGAGACCAACAACTTTGACCCTTTGACCTTGACCTAGAAATTTGACTTACTTTTGCAAAACTTTAACCTTGGCCATAACTTTTGAATGGTTGGTGCTAGGGTATTCATTTTTCACATGTGTATTTCTTGTGAGAAGGCCTTTCCTTGGGCACCATTGATTTTGACTATTGACCTTGACCTTGATGTTTGGCTTACTTTTGAAAAACTTTAACCTTTTCCGTATCTTTTCAATGGTTGCTGCATGGGCTTTCATATTTCACAGGCATATTCCTAGGGACAAGACCTTACTTTGGGTACCAACATATTTGATTTGCATTTGAGAAAGTTTAACCTTCGTTATAAGTTGTCATACAGGGGCATCAGTGTTTCACAAACACATCTTATTTAAACTAGCAAACCACTCATGAACGAGGAACTCATTAAAATTCAACACTGTCCAATTTCTCTTTTAATCAGATTCAAATTTCAAGCCTCGAAAAGTGGCCTTAATGTAGGAAGCAGAGAATACATTAAGTTTGACGTCAAATGTGACCCATAATGTACCTCACCATCTGAATTTAACAAATAGTACTCTTCTTCTTATAGGCAGAACTATTTTCGGTACAGAGGTGAAAACTGTCCTTGAATCTCTTATGCCATTTATAAACAACTTCTCTGCTAAGTTATAGTGTGTAATGTCACTTCTTTATCTTTTTACTGTCTCTGAAGTGGACAAACCACATTTGAACCAATTTTATTTCATGTTCTTGCGCCTTTAACATGTTTGACGACGTCATTTGCAGCAAAATCAATCCCAACAACACTTTGAAAATTACAACATCAATTTTCCAAATAATAATTAAGTGGTAAAAGTGCAGTATAAATGAAAATTGAAAAGTTGTTTTCCAAATAATGATTAAGTGGTTAAAGTGCTTGATAAATAAAAATTGAAAAGTTTTTCAACTGGTAAAAATTGATTTGAATATGCTACAGCTCAGACACAATGTTAATTTTTGTTCTAAATTTTGCACTGCACCGTGCAGCATAGCCTACTCTGCAGAAATCGTCATCATAACGTGACAAAGCTCCAGGGTATCAGCATGTGGTTCATCTTTAGCTGCAGAACTGTAGCGTTATGGTTTTATATTTTAGTGTTTGACCATAACGCTACAGATCCCATAATGTAAATAAAGTGCAATTTACGGCATAAGATTTTCTGCGCACTTTGGGGATGTATTTCACCACTTTCCAACATTGGTCAATTAACTACCTTTCATCCCCTAATTCTAGACATATTTTATAACCAACCTGTATATTTTATCCACCTCCTAACCCTTTATAATCGTCTCTACAGACCAATAAACTCGTTATGCCATCCGACAACAAACTCACAACAAGCGATTTTATTACATTGAATTTTCTGTTTATTACATTTTCCCTTTGCCTTTGTCTTTTTGTAACACAGTGGCATAGGCTGTGATGTCAAAGTTGAACGGTTGAGGCATCATAACTTAGTAATTGTGAGATTGAAAACATTGTAACATGGATTTTAACAACATATTTGGAAAGAAATTGGTAGTTTTAGTCTCTATCAAGACGGTTTAGTTACTATATATTATGACAGGCCAGAATTTTTTTTTAATGTTTTATTTACATGTACTTTGATATCCTTTCACACTGTGAGAGAATTTTAATTTTATTCAACAAGTCACAATATTTCACTGTTGAAAATGTATTAAAATGATCACTTTCAGTTTTGAATACTTGAGCTTTCCTTTGATGTTCCATTGTGGAAGTACTTTTTGAAATGCTAAATTTTGTTGGGGGCAGATTTGATGCTCTGCATCAATTTCACTTGTTTTTGGCTCACCTGAGCCGAAGGCTCAAGTGAGCTTTTCTGATCACATTTTGTCCGTCGTCCGTCCGTCCATCTGTCTGTCCGTCTGTCTGTCTGTCCGTCCGTCTGTAAACTTTTCACATTTTCGACTTCTTCTCAAGAACCACTGGGCCAATTTTAACCAAACTTGGTACAAAGTATCCTTGGGTGAAGGGGAATGTAAATTGTTAAAATAAAGGGCCAAGACCCCTTACAAGGGGAGATTATCAAGAAAAGACAAAAATAGGGTGGGGTCATTAAAAAATCTTCTTCTCAAGAACCACTAGGCCAGAAAAGCTGAAACTTATGTGGAAGCATCCTGGGATAGTGTAGATTCTAAATTGTTAAAATCATGACCCCTGGGGGTAGGGCGGGGCCACAATAGGGAATCCAAGTTTTACATTGAAATATATAAGAAAAATCTTTAAAAATCTTCTTCTCAAGATCCACTGGGCCAGAAAAGCTGAAACTTATGTGGAAGCATCCTGGGGTAGTGTAGATTATAAATTGTTCAAATCATGACCCCCAGGGGTAGGGCGGGGCCACAATAGGGAATCCAAGTCGTACATTGAAATATGTGGGAAAAATCTTTAAAAATCTTCTTCTCAAGAACCACTGGGCCAGAAATACTGAAACTTATATGGAAGCATCCTGGGGTAGTGTAGAATCTAAATTGTTCAAATCATGACCCCTGGGGGTAGGGCGGGGCCACAATAGGGAATCGAAGTTTTACGTTGAAATAAATCTTTAAAAATCTTAAAAAATCTTCTTCTCAAGAACCACTGGGCCAGAAATACTGAAACTTATATGGAAGCATCCTGGGGTAGTGTAGAATCTAAATTGTTCAAATCATGACCCCTGGGGGTAGGGCGGGGCCACAATAGGGAATCCAAGTTTAACATTGAAATATATAGGAAAAAATCTTAAAAAATCTTCTTCTCAAGAACCATTGGGCCAGAAAAGCTGAAACTTATATGGAAGCATCCTGGGGTAGTGTAGATTCTAAATTCTTCAAATCATGACCCCTGGGGGTAGGGCGGGGCCACAATAGGGAATCCAAGTTTAACATTGAAATATATAAGAAAAATCTTTTAAAATCTTCTTCTCAAGAACCACTGGGCCAGAAAAGCTGAAATTTAAGTGGAAGCATCCATTGTTCAAATCATGACCCCTGGGGGTAGGGCGGGGCCACAATAGGTATTACAAGGGGGGAAATCTGGTAAAGAACAGCATGGCCAAAGTTACTCAGGTGAGCGATGTGGCCCATGGGCCTCTTGTTTACTTAAAGTAATTCATATAATTTTCTACCTGCAGATTGAATAGAAATTGTGATTCCATGGAATTATTACCCCATGGAAAAAAGTATGTTTACATTAATCAGTTAATACACTTTTTGCCTTAATTTTATACTTTACCTACAGATGAACATGATGTACGAGTTAATTTTGGCAAAAAAGAAAGTGGAAGAAGCAGCTCTGATGGCAGAGATGACATTGATGTCCTCTGGTCCCACAAAGAAAAATAAGTATGAGTATGATTCTGATGAGGAAACTGAAGGCGGGACGTGGGAACACAAGCAGAGAATGTCAGAAATGGAGGCCACAAAAGGTAAGGCATGGTTTCATGGAAAAGCAGAAATGCAAGAAGGCTATAACCTTGTTTCATGCAGTTTGAAGATGTATACTTATACCCGCATTTACAATAGGTAAGTTCAGGTATATTATTGTTACCCTTGTCTGTCTGTCCGTCCATCTGTCACACTTTCTTCCTCCTCCCTTGGCAGTAGGGTGGGGCCACAACGGGGGATATAAGTTTTACATAGGAATATATAGAAAAAAATCCTGAAAATTCTCAAGAATAGCAAAGTCTTGATTAGTCATATTAATATGGAAGCATACTCAGGTAGTTAAGATTTAGATTTGTTCAAATCATGACCCCTGGAAATAGGGTGGGGCCACAATTGGGGATCCAAGTTTTACATAGGAATATATAGGAAAAAATCAAAGAAATGATTAGCCTATAAATGGTCACTGAAGCTTTAAAATGTCTCTTTGGCTTTTACCAGTTATGTTTACATGTATTAATACAGGACATACATATGAAAAGTAACAGAATATGTAGTTATAATTATCTGTATCTTGAGACAGGCCCTTGGGTCCATGGGACATTTTTGTTTGAATGATAGAACATTCTACTAAACTTCCTCAAAACCATGTTTAGAAGTTTACATGTTTACTTTCTGAAGAGTTGGAAGACATCACACACTCTCTGCCAACAAGTTTTCCAAATTAGACTAGATCTACATTTATTTCATTAATCTGCATGGCGCAGACGGTAACGTCCGAGAGAGTTTTGGCCTGATGTAATAATCTCTCGTGGTTGTTATCATAATAGGTAATATATTCTCTATGCACTTCCGTTGCGTTTACCTAAGGATTTTTCAACGCACTGACTGCAATGCTGTTTAAGGATTAATTGTGGGATTCTTACGAGATGCAGAGTTAATCCGATAGCATGAACTAAGACAGAAATATATGTAGAGACAGTGTGAACCAACATTTTAGGTTAAAATAAAATAAATACATGTTTTTAAACCCAGAAAGACCAGTGGGGGTACAATAAACAAACCGAGTGGCATACCTTTCTCTCTTATAATGTATAGTGGGTTTTTTTTGTGTGGAACGATTATTGGGGTTTTCACGATTTTTTCCTATGGTACACATGATGAATAAGTGTAATAAATATAATTTGTGAAAAAAATGTCTAACAAGCCCCGAGGTTGAATATCGGGGAGGGGGGGTCCTGTCCACAAGTACCTGTGGGCGCAGTGATTAAAGCATTTGCTCTAGAGTCACAGAGTAGGGAGTTGATCACTAACAAGCTGCAGAACTGTAGCTCTCCGAAAAAAAAAAATTGACAGACTGGAGAGCTACAGTGCCACTCATAGAAAAAACTGTATATTTATTGCGCACAAAAAGTTGCGCTCGGTTCTGGATTTATTTCTCCAAATTCTTACCTCAACTGCACAAATGCTCGATTTCAAAAAATTCCTTAGACCTGTATCAACTACTCTTGTAGTTGACATCTTTACGAAGCGCGTTTGGCCGAATTGTCTAGCCACCCAAAATGGCAGTATTAACCAGGTTGGAGAGAATACTCGAAATCGGGTATTATCCGTGAAATCGCGTATAGTCCTCGATATCAGGGTATCGTTGAATCCACGAAATCGGGTATACCGTGCAACTTTCTGTAAAAACAGAAAAATAAAGCAACGGCGCATTGTGTCAGTTAGTGTTACTTGTACATCAGTATCTTAGGAGTTTATTTTTATTGAACTCAATTTCAATGGTTGTCTGACAAGTTTAAAATCACACGACAAACACTGCTGGGGTAGCAAAGAAGGCACGGTGGCACCATTATTTTTCAGTACAAGTTCTAAAAACAAATAACTACATGTCATCTGCGTTTATTTCCCTATAAATTATTCCCCAAGCTTAATTTCTTAACCTGTGCATTATTCACAAAATGTAAAACTTTGAAGAAATTTAGTGACTAACGCTGTGTTATGTATTTTTTACTTAAAAATGTATGGCGTCCCTTTCACGTTAAATTTAAATTATTCCTCAGTTGGTAAGTACATGTATTTCTCATCGATATAGAATACCGACGTTTTCGTAATTGAAAAAAATAAAATAAAAACAAACATAAAAAAAACAACAAAGGGAAAGCAGGTTGAAAAATGATATAAAATGAAATAAATTTAATATCTACATGTGTACATGCATGTAAACTTAAATACATTTTTAAAAATTAATACAGTGTATATTGATAAAGGTAAAGAATCTTTAGTAAAATCATCAATTCCTCCTATGGTGTATGTGTACAGTCCTGCAATTCCCGCGGGGAAAGAAGAAGGTGCGTATTTTTTAAATAAAATATTGTAATGTCAGTTTACCATGAAAATTTTCATTCAAAGAACCTGCCAATGTTTTTGTTGCATTTTGATTGATGCAAGCGACGTTATTTTACCTGTGTGTGTTTGTGTGGAAATTGAGAACGAGATATCTTTCTAAAAGGATTTTCGTTTAGCTGGGGAGAGGGGGTGGGGTGGGGGGCTTGGTTCATTTAAATAAATAAAAAAATCCAATTCGCACATCTTTTCATGTGCTTACTATACATTCTCAATATAGAGCTAATATTCAAATATGAATTATATATTAAAGTTTTCACATATTATACTGTTTAATTTATTTTTTATACATATGAACAAACTGAAGTGGAGTGTTCAATCGTGTCTTAGCTTAAGTCTTGAGCTGCATTGTTTTTAATTAATCATCCATACAGATTGGAGACACTTTCTTTTATTATTATTATAGTATTGGTTAGACAGGGTAGATTTTTCCCTTCAGAGTCTGTAGTTTATTTTAGGTTATATCGCTTTAAACCTCATTATAATATGCTAAAATACGTTATCTGATTGATTCTAGACAGTACGTCACGTGACAGGGAACTAAAACTTCATAATTCCCTGTCTTTTCTGTAATCTGTGATACTTATTACTCATGGTGATCACTTTTTGTTATTATTCATCTATGGTGAAAAATGTGTTAAAAATAAACATGAAATTTAGTTATTTTTAAAACTTGTCGAATGTGGTAGAAAATAACAGGTTTCTATTTCAACCTCGTATTGTTTCGGTATATAAACAATTATTGCATGAATGTTTTGGAGATATGAAGAATTCCATTCACTCAAGAGGGCAAAATAGGGAATCAATATGATTTTTATTAGATGAATAGATCTTCTCTCTTTATCATGCAATGAATATATACCATTCAATGACGTTTAGAACAAAACTCTACAATAACATTTTTCATTTAATTTGATTATTTTGAAAGGGGAGGGATGTTTCTCTTGGACACATGCATAACACATTCGAGGTTAATTTTCGCTTGACCGAGATAGTCCGGACAATTAATAATTAATGTAAGCAGCTAGTAACAACCGTTATAGCTATTCATTTTCGTCCCCTGAAGTCGCCGAAAAATGGTAAAATATAGCAGACTCAGCGAAATTAAATGATCAACAGTTATTTTCTCTCACTAGCTATGTTGCTGAGAACATCATTGTCTTTGCTAAAACATTGGAGGCATGTTGAATCCAAAGGAAATTTTAATAATTTAAAAAAAAAAATGAGAAAGAATATGTCGCCTTTTATAACTTCTGGAAATTAGGTTTAATTGTCATTCCCTGTTTATAAAACATAATTATGTACTGGTACAAGATACATGTAAGGATTGCTATTCAACGACAAAATAATCAACTGATGAAAATAGATTCATAACACACCCCCCCTCCTCCGAAAAAATACTAAATAATATACACGTTATATTAGTTCTTGTCGTAATTTGAAACATTTTAACCATTAAATAGTTTATACATTTTGTAATGAATTATTTATATGCACAAGATGAATGTTAAAGCAATTAATGACGCATAATTAAATACGATAGAAAACCCCCTGTTTAAATGTCAGATTATTTTGTGTGTGAAATGTGTTTCCGTATAAATTGAATTATTTACGAAATGTTCATGTTTGTCGTATTGATGTGGAAAAATTTATGAATTCCAGACTTCTGATATTTAATAGTTCTGTTGTGTTGGGTATGAACATGAAGAAGATGCAAATACATTTAACATTATATAAAATATAAAAGCAGAATAAACGTTTGTTTGGGTGCAGATCATGAAATGTACTAAGCTCCACGGGTATTTGTTGTCATATGCGCATTAATTCAGACTTCCAAATTGTTATTTGGCTAGTGATACCTATAGATAACATTTGTCTCTAGGTGAAAGTTGACGCGGCAAAATGCGCCATCCCATTGTTTAAGTTTTATAAGGTGATTACACCGCCTATACCCGATTTCGCGGATACAACGATACCCCGATTTCGGGGACTATACGCGATTTCACGGATAATACCCGATTTCGAGTATTCTCTCCAACATGTTAACAGGCAAAATTTTGGATGCTCTTAATTTCAGGTCAAGGAGGGCTATTAACAACGGTTATAGGAAATGTTTTGATGTGGGAATAGTGCAAAAATGTGTTAGGAACACAGGGTCAGTAATATTTTGAGATTGCAGTTTAAAAATACAGAGAAATAAATCAAGAAACAGCGCACTTTTTTGTGCGCAGTAAATATACAGTTTTTTCTATGGGTGGCACTGTAGCTCTCCGGTCTGTCAATTTTTTTTTCGGAGAGCTACAGTTCTGCAGCTAATCACTAACCTGCATAGAGTCAATCCACTTTAGTCATATAAGGCAACTTTTTTCTGGTTACTATGGCAAAATTGGCAATTTTGAAAATTTTAAAGGGTGGCTGCACAACTACAGTTGGTGATTATCATTTCTCTAAAGTTTTATTAAATTTGTACAGGCCATCTCCAAGTACATTGATGGACAAAATCACTAGCAATTTGTCACTAAATTGGTCATGTGATATAAACTTTTCTTAAGTTAGTCGCACATTCCCTACATCCTTTTCCAATTTTTTAGGTCACCTATTGCGTCATCCCTTAACATTTGAACATTTTCAGCTTTTTCTCTGGAATTGCTCAACCAATTTCAACCATTATTGCACAAAGCATCTAAGAGTGAAAGGGGGGTTTGTGAATTTAATGCCCCCCTGGGAGCCTGAGGGATGGGGCTAAAACCACCAAATTAATCCAATCTTTAAAAATCTTCTTATTTACTCCTTGACATCAAGCAGTCAAACTGTTGGCATGATTGCAATAAGCATTGGATCCTCTACCAAAATTGTGAATTCATGGCCAGGGGTACCATAGTTAGGATGGGGTTCTAATGATCATATAATGAAAATGCATAAATTCTTTTACCGTCTTCTTCTCTCTTTCTTTTGCTTTTTGGCAACATAACTTAGATCATCTATCAGTTTGTTTTATTTTATACTTCTGTTGATCCTTTACAGTGTTGTATAATACTTAGGTGACCGTTAAGGCCCTTGGGCCTCTTGTATGGAATTGTAGTCTGCCTTATTGAAATATTCAAAGCTGAAAAAATTTTATGATCAAAAAATGAAAAAAAGTTTCTATTATTTTTCATTGGGTTTTGAATCCACATTAATATCATGCTAACTCCATAGTATTTATATTAAAGCATTCAGATGATATATTTTAAGTGTAGCCTAGGTCATCATTTTATTAAAATTATATATTATATTATACATAAAATTAAAATTCTCTTGGTATAAAAATAATTCATGGTGCAGTTATCAATCATATTATTTTTGCAGAATGGGCAGAAGCTCTAACAGAAGCTAACAAGGGAAAACATTTCATTGGTGATTTCTTGCCTCCAGATGAATTGGAAAGATTCATGGAAACATTCAGGGTATGTCTAGAAAAATAAAACAAATATTTATTAGCTCTCTTGAGCCAAAGGCTCAAGTGAGCTTTTCTGATCGATATTTGTAATATTTATAAAAAAGCATCCTTAGATAGTGTAGATTCAAGTTTGTTCAAATCATTACCCCCAGGGGAAGGGTTGAGCTACAATGGGCAATTAAAGTTTTATAAGGGTATATCTAGGAAAAAGCTTTAAAAATATTCTTCTCAAAAACAGCAAAGCCATGATCATTCATATTTATATGGAAGCATTCATAGGTAATGTAGATTCAAGTTTGTTCAAATGACGAACCCCAAGGGTATGGTGTTGTCATTATGGGCAATCAAAGATTTACATGAATTCAATATAAATACTAGGAAAAATCCTTAAAAATGTTCTTCTCAAGAATAGGAAAGCCATGATTAATCAAATTTTTATGGAAGCATCCTTAGATAGTGTAGATTCAAGTTTGTTAAAATCGTGACCCCTTTGATAGGAAGGGCTTCAATGGGCAATTAAAGTAAGATTCAAATATTTGGTGTTTTTCAGATTTCATAAAAAGAAGTACTGTGATTAATAAATTTTGATTAGAAAAGTGCTGGAATTATAATGTTTTATGTATAATACATAACGTACTTTCATAGTTTTTATTAGTTAGATACGACTGGATCTAGAATCGAGGACAACAAATGAAGTCTGAAAATGTCTAAAAGACGTGAAGAGTATACTTATTAAAATAAAATTAATTGATCATTGAATGGATGTCCGATAGAATTAATCTGTAATGAATATTGTAAAGGGCCAATTTCAGAATAAATGTGTAAATTACTTGATTAACTCGGGTTGTACATAATCCTGAATTTTATATTCATTATCGGGAAATTAGTTAATTACCTAAGAAAATTGTCTGTGGAAATATTTGTTTACATTGTAACAAAGACTATAATCATACCTCTTATCAGGCAGATAATTGTAATTTACTACACGTATTGAAATCTGAACAGTATACTGTTACGGCTATCTTGCCTTTTGTGAGACGACTGGTTCCTCAGGTGGGGCTACTATAAATACACATTTCATTTGTTAAAATTATACTTTTCTACATTTAAATCAATTATTTATTTCAAACATTGACAAATATCAAATGGAATTTCTTATTGTACACCTACAAAAGTCTTACTTCCAATATAAATATACCTACGCTAAACCTTTCATGAGAAAGTCCACTACTAATGTAGATTTTCAACATATCATGACCCCTGGGAGTAGGGTTGGGCAAAAATGGGGATCAAAGTTTTCTTGAGGAATACATAGGAAAAATCTTTAAAAATCTTTTTCTCAGGAAAGCAAAATCATGATTAGTCATATTTGTAAAGAAACATCCTCAGATAGTGTAGATTCAGGTTTGTTCAAATCATGACCTCCAGGTTTAGGTTGGGGTTACAATAGGTAATCAAGTTTTACATGGGAATATTTAGGAAAAAGAGTCCACTGATGAACAATAGTTATTCAGGTGAGGGTTGTGGTCCATGGGCCTCTTGTTTTAGCTCACCTAAGACGAAGGCTGAAGTGAGCTTTTCTGATCACATTTTGTCCTGTGTCCATCTGTCTGTAAATTTTTCACATTTTCTACTTCCAGGAACCACTGGGCCAATTTCAGTCAAACTTGCCACAAAGTAATCTTTGGTAAAGGGGATTCAAATTTGTCAAACAAAGAGCCAAGACTTTTTCCAAAGGGAGATAATTATGAATAATTGAAAAATTAATGGCATCTTTTAAAAATTTTCTTCTTAAGAACAACTTGGCCAGAAAATATGAAACTTAGATGAAAGCATATTTAAGTAGTGTAAATTCAAGGTTATTCAAATCATGACTGCCTAGGGTAGGATGGGGACACAATGGGTGATCTGTTTTTTATATGGTTAAAGTCTTTAAAAATCTTCTCAAGAACAGCAAAGCCATGATTATTCATGGGTGGTGTAGATTCAAGTTTGTTCAAATCATGACCTGGGGGGTAGGGAGGGGCCACAATGGGCGATCAAGGTTTTATATAGGAGTACATAGCAAAATCATTAAAAATATTTTTCTCAAGAACAGCAAAGCCATGATTGGTCATATTAATTCTAAAGCATCTTCAGGTAGTTAAACCCCCTTCAAACGAAGTTTAAGGGGGGGGGGATGTTTATATTGGAATCAGCCTAGATGCGAGTAATCTGATCGAAATATTTACAGATTGGTGGTGCTTAAATATAAAAAGGAAGAGGAATTTGTAATAAATTTATTGATGTATGCATATTCTATGTTTTATTATGCTTTCAATAAATAATCACGCGAAGTTTAAACGAGGTGAGGCAAATGACGAGAAAAGAGTTGCAAGCCTTCTCTCTTTTAATGTATCAATTGAAAATGATATATTTAAAAACAGCCTATTGAGACAAAAGGGTTACATTATTGATATCAGGTAGTGCGTATTAGAGTACAAAAATAGGAAAAAAGTGTGTCGACCACAGATTTAAAAAAAAAAATGGAAAAGGGGGGTGGGTGGGTGGTAGGGGGGTCCAGGCCCAGAGGGCCTGAGCTTTTTTTCCCCCTATGTACAGTACTACATTTAAGAGACTGATGTTAACTCTATATCTATAATGCAATGCATGTATATTGGATACAAGTATATTTTAGTATCAGAATTCATAGAGGTAAAGGTATATAGCATGATAAATTCTTGGGGGGGGGGGGGGGGGCATTGTTAATAAAATAAAAAAAGCTAAACCTATTTTGATTGGTGGAGAGGGGCAGATATTCACTGTCATTTTTCAACAGATAAAATAACGAACTAGCAAAAAATAAAGATACCTGAAATAAATTTTACATAAAAATAAATAAAAGAAGAAAACCATTTGGCATGAGGAAGAAAAGGGCAGAGGAAAGTGGGGGGGGGGGGGGGGGTCGATTCAAACTGTAGATTTTTTGATTTTAAAAAAAAAAAAGATTCATCGTATTATATTTATGCTTAAGTTTTGAAAAAAAAAGGTACAAGTTTTTAATTCATTTAGTAAAGTGAATTCCTACTGAACGTTAAAGTTGTTGTTTTCTCTGTACTGAGGTTACAATGACATTGGTGTTATGTGTCATTTTATAGCATTATCTTGTGATCATTGCGTGGACTTCACTTGAGTTTTGATTAGAATTAAGTAGATATTTGAAGGAAAAAAAAAGGTGTAAAAAATTAAGAAGGCTTTGCTCTTTCAGAAACCATAAAAACTGTCTAATTATTGGTAATTTGGTCCTGAAGGTCCCTTTTTGCTTGATGCAACTTATTTTTGTTCAAATCATGGTCCCATGGGGTTTGGTTGGGCCACAATAGATCAAAATTTTATGTACTAGGAATTAATAGGAAACTATTTTATGTCTTATGAACAGCAGAGTCATAGTCATATTGATATGCAAGCATACTCAAGTTCATGTACTGGTAGTTAAATTCAGGTTTGTCCATATCATCCTTTTCAGAATAGGTTGAGGCTACAATGGGGTATCAGAGTTTTAAAAGAAAGTATATAGGGAGAAATCTTCTCAAAATTTCGTGTCGATTCAACTTTGATTTAATCATAGCTCTCTTAGGGCAAGATTTTGGTCCACAATAATGAAATTCAATGAAAATCTTTAGCTCTATGGTCAGAGACCAGAAGACCTTATGTGATAGTAAGGTGTCTGTTATCTGTCTGTCTGCCCATAAACAATTTTAGCTCACCTAAGCCGAAGGCTCAAGTGAGCTTTTCTGATCAAAATTCGTCCATTGTCTGTTGTCGGTGTTCTTTGTCATAGGCGTCATAAACTTTTCACATTCTCATCTAGAACCACTGAGCCAATTTCAACCTAACTTTGCACAGAGTAACATTGGGTTAAGGGAATTCAAATTTGTTCAAATGAAGGGCCACACCCTCTCCTAAGGGGAGATAATTAAAAAATAAATACCTTCCTGACATAATGTAGATTTAAGTTTGTTCAAATCAACAGGGGAAGGATGGGGCAACAATGGGTAATCAAAGTCAGTGACTTCTGCTTATGAAATCAAAGAGGGAAATTAAAAAAAAAATCAGCAGGGTCAAAGTGACTCTGCTGTAGTCCTAGCCAAGTGCAATGAGAGAAGTGGTTTTAAAATGAGCATAACTAGTTGTATTAATTTGAAATTTTTTAATCTAGTCAGTCATATAGGGTGGATTTTGAAAGGGGGGGATTACAAGGAAACAATTGACAACTGACCTGGAAAAAAATCTTTGAGCAGCACCCTTAAAAAAGAAAAATTCTCCAAACTCTGAATTTATTTGGTAAGGTGGTTGTGAGATGGTAAGGTTTATTAAAGTTTACATTTAGAAAAAAAAGTGTAGGGAGGGAGTAGGTCCCCTGTACCCCCACACCAAATATTTTTGCCTGAATGTTATGTTCACCTGAGTGGAATTTATGTGCAAGTGAAATAACTTTCCAGAATTATTTGTATTAATTTGGAAGTTCTCAATCTACACGTATATTTAGTCCAATGTAGGAAAAAAATCAATCCTTATGTTCACCTGGAAGGTCATGTGCAAGTGAATTTAACATAATATTTTTTCTACAATGATGGATCTCAGCCAATCAGAGATCTAGGAATTATTCTCATATAATGAAATGTGTTGCCATATTCTTCATAATAACCAGTGTCCTTGTGGAATGGGCATTTGAGATGAAAAAGTACATATACGTATATATCAGTCAATCCTAAATTCTTGGAATATGTAAATGCTTTCAAACATTTTACTACATGAATTTTAATTCAGGCATTAAAAGAAGGCAGAGAACCTGATTTGACTGACTACAAAGATTTCAAGTTGACCTGTGAAAACCTTGGGTACAAGATGCTTCAGAAGTTAGGTTGGAAGGAAGGGGAGGGTCTGGGTGCAGAGGGTCAGGGAATCAAGGATCCAGTCAACAAGTAAGTTCTATTTATACTTTTAGAGAGAGTGAGGGTATTCAATGTTTTAAAATTGGATATAAAGTTAATATAAGTGGGACAGAATTTTTTTGGTAAGTAACCTGAGTCACTCACATTTGAAAGCTTTTCAAATGTTGTTTTATGTTTTAGAGGATTGTTATAAATCATGACATTACAAAAATACATAGAAAATAATCAGTTTTCCTTTCATAGAAATTGCACACTTCTGTCAAAGTTGCATACATTTAACTTTGATCAAATCATAGCTCCCTAAGGGCTAGATTTTTAGGATTCATACTTCGAGTAAGAAGTCATGAAAACCAGAAGAAATGGGTTGATGGGGCTAGATTTCTGTCCACAATGGGGTCAAAATTTTTATTGAATGCAAGAAGGATTTTTTTTTTAAAATCTGATGAAGAACAGTAGGGTAAAAGTGACTCAGGTGAGCATTGTGGCCCATGCACCTCTTGGTTTATGTTTCCTTTGTTACAGGGGTTCAGTCTCAGTGGATGGTAGAGGTATTGGAATGGAAAGACCAGCAGTCCTAGATAAAGATGATGATGAATTTGATGCTTACAGGAAAAGAATGATGCTGGCTTATAGATTTAGACCAAACCCTCTGGTTGGTGTTGTATTCTTTTCACAAAAAAAGGTTATTGTAGATTCCTAAATATACGCGAGGAAATAATTATCGCGTAATTACGCGAGAAGCACCACTCGCGAAATAAAATTACTCACTTTTATTTTTTGTGGTGCTGAAATCAATGTAAAATCCCTTGGTCAATCGTCCACTCGCGAATTATTGTTCTCGCGATTTGACGTTGAAGAGCCATTTCGCGATAATAAGTACTCGCGAAAAATAAGGAATCTACAGTAACTGCTAGTCATTTGTGCTTAAGTGATAGACCCGAAGAACTTATGCATTGGTAGAGTGCCTCTCTGTTCATCTGCATATAAATGTTTAAAAGCTACTTCCCTTTCATTTGCTCACCTGAGCTGAAAGTTCAAGTGAGCTTTTCTGATCGCACATCTTGGTTCCATCTGTCTGTCCATCCATGTCTGGTAGAGTGCATCCCTAGATGCATCATCCATGCAAGTTTAATTAACAAGGGCTTGTGAAAAAACTCTGCTCCAAAAACTTTATCCTGCTTTAAAAAACATTTAAATGGACATTCTTTGGCTGAAAATGCAGCATCTGAAACCTGACTGTAACATTGAAACATACTACATCAGTTGACTCTTATTAATGCAGTAAAACATGGATATTGCAAACATGCTTATAATTTATTAACACTTACAACAAAGTGATTTTCATTCCCCATGGTTCTAAAATGTATTTTAAATTTGATGGATATAATGAATTATGTTTATAATGAATCAAAATTGTTCATCCCTGGCACTTCACTATAAGCATGTTTTAGGCACTGTATAGGGCATAGACATACTTGGAAAGAAATCTGCACCAAAAACTTTTAATTGGGATGCAGATGCCTACCCTGACCTTTTTACATAAGGTCCCCCAACTTTGTTTAGGTGAGCTAAAAATGTGACATTAATGTAAAATAAGAGTATCAAAATATACATTGTACAAAGGATACTTTAAAAATTTTCTATTTTGATATTTTTGAAAATCCTCTTTAAATTTCAAAAATATGCTACTTTTGGCTAACTTTCAAAAATATGCTACTTTTGGCTAACTTTCAAAAATATGCTATTTTGGCTAAATTTTTAACACTGAATCAGATCAAGTAACCAGGTGCTTCTAAATTTAGATATGCAAATTTTTTTGCAATTTTTCAATTTTTAGGTACTCGAGTCACTCGGCTATCTGTTTTCATTCATCAGTGTGTTTCATGCATCATCAATCATCCATTTACATTTGAACATTTTCAGCTTCTTCTCCAGAACTTCTCAAGCAATTTTGGCACATAGCTTCCATGAGTAAAAGAAAAAGGGTGGGGCTTAGACTGTCAAAAACAAAAAATTTTTTCACTCAGGTGACTTATTGCTATCTGTTTTCATCCGTTGTTGTCTGTTGTACATCATGCACCGTGTGTTAACATTTGGATATTTTCAGCTTCTTCTCTGAAACCGTTGAACCAATTTCAGCCAATTTTAGCATATAGTATCTATGGGTGAAGGGGAACAAAATTTGTGAATTTCATGGTCCTTGCCTCCCTGGGGTCTGAGAGGTGGGGCATAAACCATCAAAATTAGTGCCATCTTTCAAAATCTTCTTTACTCCTGGACATCAAGCAGTCAAACTGTTGGCATGATTGTAATAAGCATTGAGCCAAAATTATTAAATTCATGGTCCCGGGGTCAGGGGTTCTGGAGTTAGGATGGGGCTCTGTTGATCATATAGTGAAAATGCATAAATTCTTTAAAAATCTCCCCTGTATACATAGCAGATAAACTAGGCACATGGTTATGATGATCAAGGGTGCCTCTTCCAAACTTGTGAAATTTTTGGCCCCAGGTTGAGGGGTTTGGGGGGGGGGGGGGGCTCTATTGATTATATATTGAAAGTGCTTTATTTCTTTGAAAATCTTCTCTGCTCCTAGGTATTAAACCAAGTATATATTTATGACAAGCAAGGGCACCTCTTCCAAAATTGTGAATATCTTGGCTCCTGGGTCAGGGGTTCTGGTGTTAAGCAGGGCTCTATTGATCATATAATGAAAATTCATTAATTCTTCTCCTCTCCCCCTGTATATAAAAAAGATAAACTAGGTGCATTGTTATGATGATCAATGGTGCCTCGTCAAAAAATTGTAAAATTTGTGGCCCCAGGAGTGGTTCTGCAGGAGGGGGAGTTTATTGATTATAAAATTTGCTCCTTGGTATTTAGCAGATATACTAATTGCGTGGTTATGATGCCTCTTCCAAAATTAGGAAATTTGTGGCCCCAGGGTCAGGGGTTCATGGGGGGGTTCAATTTAATGTATAGTGGAAATTCATTTTTTTTTTCTTTTTGAAAATCTTCTCTGCCCCTGGGTATTTAATAGAAAAACTTATTGCATGTTTATGCCAAGCAAGGAAATATTTTCTAAAAGTTTGAAATTTATAACCCCGAGGTCAGAAATTTTGGTGTTTGGGTGAGGCTGTTTTGAATATATAGTAGAAATGCATTATTTCTTTGAAAATCTTCTTCTCTGCCCATTATTATTAAGGAAACATACTAAGTGCATGGTTGTGATGAGCAAGAGTACCTTTTCCTAAATTGTGAATATCTTGGCACCAGGATCAAGGGCTTTGGTATTAGGATGGGGTTATATTGAATCTATAGTGAAAATGGATTATTTCCTTGAAAATTATCTTCTCTGCTCCTAGGCATTTAGGAAGCAAATAAAGTACATGAAGTTGTAATAAGCAGGGGTGATTTTACAAGACTTTGAAATTCTGTACCCTTTGGTCAATTTATTAATTTTTATTGAAAGATGTTATTCCCCTTTGCTATTCACCACTGTAAATAATGTACTAAGCTTAAAATAATTGAATAACAGAATTATATACAAGAGTTTTTTAAACATTGACTACAAAAAGTACTTTCATAGATTTTAATAGTCAGGTAGACTTTTAGATAATAGATAAATAAAAATGGAACAAAAAAACGTATCTTTGTACATTAAATAATCTTCAGTCTAGAAGAGGCCAATGTGAGGGGGAATGAAATGTGTTAACTAATAGTGCTCTAGAACTTGTTTTGTGTAGTCCACATGAGGATAGTGACAAATGGGTAAGAAGTACAGGCAAATAAATATATTGACTTTAAGAATTGTTACTGAGTACTAAAATAATATTTTGCTGGTCCCTGATTATCCTATTTCTGTTGCTTTTGGGCAACATAGCTCTATGGATGGTTACATTATATACTCAGGTGACTGTTAAGGCCCTTGGGCCTGTTGTATAAGAATTTTTCACTGTATGTTGGTTTCGCGGAATTTATATTTCTGCAAATATAGGGAATATTAAATCTGGGAGTTAATTTACTGCTGTACACTATTCTTTGAAAATCTTCTTCCCTGTTCCTTGGTATTTAGCATATAAACTAAGTGCATAGTTATGATGAGCAAGTGTGCCTTGTTTATGAATTTCATGACCCCTAGGAGGGGTCCTGGTGTTAGGGTGGGGATTTGTTGAATCTAAATAGTGAAAAGCATTATTTCTTTGAAAATCTTCTCTGCTCCAAGGCATTAGGAGACAAACAGGGTATAAAGTTGTAATACGCAGTGGTATTTTTATACCCCCGCTCCGAAGGTCTGTCCGTAACAAATTTTGGTCGCAGTTTCTCAGCAACTACTCATTGCAGATGGTTGAAATTTTAGCACAATCTTTGTTTAGGCATGCCATATGGTGGGATTCATTTTTGTACGAATTCGATGTCAACTTCCTGTTTATCCGTGCATCTGTCCGTACCATACATAACAAATTTTGGTTGTAGTTTTCTCAGCAACTACTCATCGCAGATGCTTGAAATTTTAGCACAATCTTTGTTTAGGCATGCCATATGGTGGGATACATTTTTGTACTAATCTGATGTCAACTTCATGTTTATCTGTGTGTCTGTCCGTACAATACATAACAAATTTTGGTCATAGTTTTTTCAGCAACTACTCATTGCAGATGCTTGAAATTTTAGCACAATCTTTGTTTAGGCATGCCATATGTTGGGATTCATTTTTTTACAAATCCGATGTCAATTTCCTGATTATCACTGTGTTTGTCCATAACTGAACTTGTGTATTCACATCAGAGCGGGGGTATTATTAGTGAACATTGGCTCACAGACTTCTTGTTACGAGATTTTTAACCACTTGGTCAAGTGGTGTAGTTCTGGGAAGGGCTCTAATAATTTGTATTTTACTGAGAGAAGTTATTCCTCTGCACTATTCACCTTTGTTACAATTTGACTGTAAATAATTAAATATAAAGGTCAATTGAAAAAATGAATTATACAAGAATTTTTAAATTAAATAATACAATCAAAGTACTAAAAGTACTGGCTCCGGGGCTATAAACTTAGATGAGCTCACTTTTGATCTCAATCCTTTTTATAAACAGTCACTTTTGTAAAAATGAGACTGGGATCAAAAGTGAGCTCTAAGTTTTATGGCTCCAGAGCTTGACTTGAGGTGATGTCTTCTTGTGAAATGTGATATACTTCCCCATATTAACTGGCATATGCAAAAGTTTATGTCGATGAGAAACCCCAATGAAAACCATTGGAAAGCAAAAAGTGAGCAATATGACACACATTTATTAATTATACAATATATATTGAAAAAACTGAACTATTTACTTTTTTGTACAAATATTAGTGAAAGAATTATTTCCATATAAATGTGTCTAAAAAATCTTTTCATGTGTCATATATCATTGAAATTCCTTTATCACTTATACAGCTAGCATTGACTACAATCATAATACCCCTTCCTTGATAATTTTTTTTCCAGAAAAGCAGGCCCATTTAGAAATTTTTTATACCCTGCACAAAGTCCAGGGGGTATTTTGGAATCAGCATGTCCATCTGTATGTGGACATGATATTGTCTTGACCTGTTCTTGAAGGCCATTGCATGGATTTGTCTGAAGAAATTGTACACTCATTATTTACCATATAAAGATGTGCACCCGGTATTTTCATCATGATTGGATAATTTTTCTTCATTTTACAGTTTTTTTTTTTTTTATTTTTAATGACTTAATCATTTTGGGTTCAAAGATTTGAGATATAGAATTGAGAAACTGCCAGCTGGTACATATGTAGAAAAATGTGAACTGCAGCTTAAAACTAGGTCATTAAAACTTAAAAAATCACCAAGTAATAAAAAATACATATGGACCTCCTGTTGAATATGAAAGGCACTAGCCACACTCATCATATTTTAAGATTTAGTGTGCAGTGTATATTAAGTTACTTGGCAAAATTTGGTGAGTGACACTCATACACTTCACATTCTAATCATGGATTATTAAATGCCACCTTTTTAGCTCACCTGAACCAAAGGTGAGCTTTTCTGATCAAAATTTGTCTGTTGTCTGTCATTGTAGTTGTAAACTTTTCAGAATTTCATCTTCTTCTCTAGTACTGGGCCAGTTTCAACCAAACATGGCACAGAGTATCCTTGGGTGAAGGGTATTCAAGTTTGGTCAAATGAAGGGCCACACCTTCTTCCAATTGGAGATAATTATGAATTAGTGAAAAATGAATGGCATTATTTAAAAATCTTGTTCTCAAGAACCACGGTTAGAATATATGAAACTTATGTGCAGTCATCCTCAGGTAGTGTAGAATCAAGCTTTTTCACATCATGAACGCCCTGGCTAGGGTGGGCCACATTGGATGATTTAATTTTTACATAGGAATACATAGTAAAAAATCTTTAAAAATCTATTTCTCAAGAACAGCTAAGCGATTGGTCATATTTATATGGAAGCATCCTTTGGGGATAATAATTTGTGGGTCTCTTCATACCTCGAAAACAGCAAAAATTAATCCCCCATGAAAATTAGTGATTTACTAAAAAAAAATGTAAATGAAAATATGTATGAATTATGAAGATAATGATCTGTAATCAAGCTCAGAAGTCCATATAAATAACACAAATTGTGAGCAGAGCAAACAGAATTTTTTAAATAGTTAATAATTTCCATGACATGTTGATGCATATTTGTTCCGATCGTGGCCCCTGGGGCAAGGACTGGGCTATGATACAGACACATGTTGACATAATAACAAGATAATTAGACATGTTGCATTTATTGACTGGACTTTTAGGTAACCTGCTTTTTTTTTGGACTTGAAAACCAAACTTTTCGCTGAGGCTGTTATTTCAAAAGTAACAGTCTGATTGGTGGGAGGGGGGCTGGGAGGTTGCCTGGTTACTGGAAGATTTGTGGCCCACTTGCCTTTTCTTAATCTTTGTATGACTCATTTTAAATCAACTGAATTAAAATATAATTCTTTTCCTATAATCATAATAATGATGTTTTTGATAAGTCTTCATTGTATTGCCTTGAAGGTTACCAACAAAGCTTTAATCTGTTCTTTGTGTTATATGCCTTTAAATTATCTACAACTTTTTTGTTTGATCTGTTTTCATTATCTATTTCAGAATAATCCAAGGAGACCTTACTATTGATATGGAAGTAACATGTTAGCTACGAAGAGAGTTTCATTTGTTCTGTAAATGCAGAAATTAATAGAAAATATACCTGCAAAAGCCCAGCGAGTTACCTACACACACAGTTCAGTCATCAGTGGGGTCAGTGGAACCATTTGGACTGGTGTTTCTACTGTTTTGAGAAATGATGGAACACATTTAAGAATTGCATCTTAATTATTGACTCCATGGTTATGCGTACATAAACTTTAGTTCTTTTATCTGTGATGGCAAACACCAGAAGAGTGATAGTAAGGTGTCCATCATCTGTCAGTTTTTTTGAAAAAAAATTACAGCTAACTTTGATGAAGTAAGGGGGGAAGTTCATGTCTCAGATTAAAGTTTTTGGTTTCTACGTATTTCTATGCCCTATATTAATCTAAGCTGCATGGATGATGATCTATATGTTTCACTGTACCTGTCAGGTATCAGGTGATGCATTTTCAGCCAATATATTCTATAAAGTTGACCAGGTTAGAGTTTTTGAAGACAGTTTGTTTTTGGAGCAGGTTAATGTTTTAGGAGCAAGTCACATTCCCAGGTGACTTAAAGACTTGCTTTGGATGCTGGATTTGACCTTGATTGATGATTGAGTAGTATTTTATAATAGGTACATACCCAAGTTACTGTAAGTCCTACCCAGAACAAACTTGTATTGAATATATATAGGGATGCAAATTACGAAATAATTTAGGTAAAATTTGTCAAGGTGAGCTTCATAATCTTTGATTACCTATGTTTTAAAATGCTATTCCTCAAACAGTTTTAATGATGTAATATATTCTGTATATCAGTTTTTGATTTCAACAAACATTTTGGCCTTTCTCACTGAAAAAAATTCTGTTTTTTAGATTCTTTTAAAACCATTCCTACAGTTTTGGTCTGATTTCAATTAAACTTAGTACATACATAGATTACATTAAGATACATAACTTGATGGATTGATTTTTAGGAAACCTGAGTTGCTTAGGTGACCTGTTGCATTCTGTTTTTGTCCATCTTCAAGAATGCATGTTGTGCTTCATCTGTCTTGCATTAACATTTGAAAGTTTTCAGCTTCTTTCGAACTGAAGAACCAATTTCAATTTTGGCATAGAATATCTATAGTGAAAGAGCACAAACATCATGATTTTATGTTCCTTGCCCCCTTGGGGCCTTAGGGGTGGGGCTATAACCATCAAATTAGTCTTTAAAAATCATCTTCTTTACTCCTGGACATCATGCAGTCAAACTGTTGGCATGATTGTAATAAGCATTGAGCCCTCTACCAAAATTCTTAAATTCATGGTGCCACGGTCAGGGGTTTTGGAGTAAGGATGGGGCTGTAATGATCATGTATGAAAATGTATGAATTCTTTAAAAATATTCTTTTCTCCCTCTGTAAATAAAACAGATAAATCATAAACAAGGTGCAATGTTTTGATGATCAAAAATGTCTCTTCCAAAATTATGAAATTTGTGGCCCCAGGTTGAGGGGTTCTGCATGAGGAAGCTTTTTTGATTATATAGTGAAAGTGCATTAGTTCCTTGAAAATTTTATATTCTCCACTCCTTTGTATGAAGTAAACAAATCAAGTATATAATTATGATGAGCAAGGGTGCCTCTTCTAAGTGTGTGAATTTTATGGCCCCTGGGTCAGTGGTACTGGTGTTAGTTTGGGGATCTATTGATTATATAGTGAAAATACATTAATTCTTTGAAAATCTTCTCCTCTTCTTCTAGGTATTTAGCAAATTAACTGCATGATTATGATGATCCAAAGTGCCTCTTTCAAAAATATGGCCCCAGGGTCAGGGTTTCCTTGGGAAGGGGGCTCTATTGATTATGTAGTCAACGTACATTATTTCTATGAAAATCTCTGCTTCTGGGTATTAAGCAAACAAACCAAGTGCCTAGTTATGATGATCAAGAATTTCTCTTTAAAAATTATGAAATTTGTGGCCCTGTGGGAAGGGGGGGGGGGGGGGGCTCTATTGATTATATAGTGAAAATGCATTAATTCGTTGAAAATCTGCTTCTCTGCTCCTAGGTATTTACAGATCAACTGTGTATAGTTATTTTGAGCAGGAGTGCCTCTTCCAAATTTTGAATTTTATTGCCTCTGAGTCAGGGGTTTGGGTTTTGGTGTTAGGCAGGGATTCTATTGATTATATAGAGAAAATTGTTTTCATTCTTTAAAAATCTTCTTCTCTGTTCTTAAATATTTAGCAGATAAACTAAATGTATAGTTATGATGATCAAAAGTGTCTCTTCCAAAATTGTGAAATTTGTGGCCCTAGAGTCAGGGGTTCTTTGGGAGTGGAGGGTGGAGGGGCTCAATTAATTATATAATGAAAGTGCATTATTTCTTTGAAAATCTTCTGTGCTACTGGGTATTAAACAAACAAACAAGTGCATAGTAATGATGAGCAAGGGTGCCACATCCAAAAATTATTAATTTCATGGCCCCAGGAATTCTTGTTAAGGCAGGGCTCTATTGGATAAAAGTGCAATAGAGGCACCCTTTCTCCTCATAACTATACTTAGTATAACAAACATACATGCGCTTAAGTGAATGGTTATGATGAGAAAGAGTGCCTCTTCAAAAATTGGAATTTCTTGGCCCCTGGGTCAAGGACTGTGGTGTTACATTGGGGTTATATTGAATTGCATTGCTCCTGGGCATCTTGGTGGGAAACAAAGTATATAAAGCTGTAATAAGCAAGGGTATTTTTACCAGATTATTGAAATATTGCACCACTTGGTCAATGTATTGATTTGTATTCTACTGAAAGAAGTTATTTCTCTTTGCTTTTCACCTATTATAATTAATCACTGTAAATAATAATAAATAATAATGTAATGTTATGTAATAAAATAATGTAATTGAAAGTTCAGTTGAATAAAAGAATTATACAAGAATTTTTAATATATTACATACAAAAATCTCTTTCATAGTTTTTAATGATCAAGTAGACTTACATTAAATGTTCTTCAAAGACTAAGAGAGGCCAATGTGAGAGGTGATGAAATGGATTTACTACTAGTGCTCAAAAACTATTTTGTTCATTCTGCATGGGGATTGTGACAAGTGGGGGAAAGTACAGGCAAGTAAATAGATAAACTTTAAGATTGTTACTTAGCATTAGATTAATTATTTTGCTGATCCCTGATCATCCTATTTCTCTTGCTTTTGGCAACAAAGCTTCATTTATCAGTTTATTTTGTTTTACTTTATATTCAATCTATGGATCTTGTACAGTGTTACATTATACTCAGGTGACAGTTAAGGCCCTTGGGCCTCTTGTGAATTTCATCAAAACATGGTTACTAAGAATATGAATTTCTGTGAAATTCTTTCAAACACTACGACTACTGCAGTTTTGATCTGATTTAAATGTAGTAGTCTTGTACTAGTAAAACCTGGTACACAAACAGACCAGCCTGAGATCACATAATTCTGTAAATCAAATTTTGATATCATGATTGCTAAAAAATTTTGTTTGACATTCTTTCAAAATATTACTCTTTCTACAGTTTTAGTTCAGTACGTAAATCATGTTGCATGCTGCAACCTGTTCAACAGAGCGAACGTTCGCGAGCGCTCGCCTAAATTCCTTATTTTTCCAACAGAAATGTTCGCGAGCGCTCGCGAAAGTTCACTCTGTTGAACAGGCCTCTTGTCAAAGACTTCTGGTTTCCATCATTTAAATTGCTGACATTAATTTTGTATGAAGTCAGTGACTGTTTATTCATGTTCATCAAGCTTGAATTATTGAAAATGTTTAGCAATATCAATTCTCACTGCACAGATTAAAATATGTAATGTTAGCATTAAACAGTTAATACCATACCATCAATTGTCTGTACATTCTATATTTACTTATCAAATAAAGATACATATTAAGCTATCTGTTTTCATTTTGTGTATTGTAAGCTATATTATGTATTTTTCACCTTTTCCATCGCCAGCACCAACCAACCCCACCCACCCCCCATTCCCCCAAACAAAACAAAATAAAGAGAAGAAAAATGTTTTTAGTAAATCAAACTGTTAAATATTTGTAAAGTTGCACTCTCATGCAAAAAATTTAGTTGCATTCAACCATTTTTATTGCTATCCATTTCCATCCATTGCAATGCATTAAAATTTCAACATTTTTAGCTTCTTCTCTAGTACCACTGGCAAATGAAATATGGAGATAACGAACAGTATTCAAGCTCACAAGTTCATTCAAACAATACAAATCAGGAGCAGAGCAAACACGGACCTCTAAAACATCAGAGATGGGAGTAGAGTGCTCGTCCGTGATCGGGAGGTCGTGAGTTTGAATCTTGGCCGCAACTGACCTAAGTCGATAAAAAATGGATAGCAACTGTTCCTTCGCCATGCGCTCGGCACTAAGTGAAAGTTCCGGGTCCTTCGGATGAGACCTTAAAAACTGAGACCCTGTGTCACGGCAGGCGTTTGCACAGTAAAGATCCCTCACTGCTTAATGGCCCTGAGTGCCGAGTAAAGGTCAACATTTGAAGCCCTTCACCGGTAAATGGTGATGTCTCTATATGAGTGAAAAATTCTCGAATGGGACGTAAAACAACATACAATCAATCAAAGATGGGATCAGGTGCCAGAGAGGAGTAAGCATCCCCTGCCGACTGGTCACACCCGCGGTGTGCTCCTTGTCATGTTCGGGGAAAATCTGTAGACAATTCAGTGTGTAAATAATGGCATAACAATTAGTATGAAAAACATCAGTCGGCATATTTGACTTAATGATAAATTGCATTTGCTGACAAGGTCATTGTATCGACCATAGAACTTGTGAAATGATGACTTTAAAGGAGACTGTTAATATTCTTGTTTCATCAACTTGTATGTCCAATACCTTGCCTCCTTTTAGAAATTGTTCGTAAGTTTGTTTGTTTGTTGTGTAACGTCCCTCTCGAGAATTTTTCACTCATATGGAGACGCCAACACTTGCCGGGGAAGGGCTGCAAATTTTGACTTATACTCGGCACTCAAGGCCATTAAGCAGTGAGGGATCTTTTTCATGCCAGCACCTACTGCGACACGGGACCTCGGTTTATACGATCTCATCCAAAGGACCGGTCTCCACATCCCGCAGTGGGATTCGAACCCGTGACGTAAGGATCAACTCCTTAAATCGCGACTCTAGAGCAAAGGCTCTAACCACTGCGCCATGCGGGCGACTTTGTTCGTAAGTAGTGCATGCTCTTGAATATCAATGGATTAAGGGGAACCGAAATTTTGAAGTTCATGGCCCCTGGGGCCTGAAGGTGGGACTAAATCCATCAAAATTAGTGCAATCTTGCAAGTCTTTTTTTACTCCTGGATATCAAGCAGTCAAACTGTTGGCATAATATAATAAGCTTTGGACCCTCTGCTAAAATTGAGGAATTCTTGGCCCCATGGTCAAAGGTTCTGGATAGGCGTGGGGTTCTATTGATCATATAGTGAAAGTGCGAAAGCCTCAATTCCCCCTTTCTATTTTGCAGACAAACTTAAGTCCATGGATATGATGAGTAAGAATACATCTTCTAAAATTGTGAAATTCATGGGTTTTTGTGTTACGGTGGGGCTCTGTTGATTATATAATGGATATACATTCATTCTTTGAATTTTTTTTTCTATGTTCCTGCGTATTTAGCAGATAAACTGCATAGTTATGAGTAAGGGTGCTTCTTCCAAAATTGTAAACCGTCACGGCAGCTCAGTCGGTAGAGCGCTCGCTTAGTGGGCAACTCAAACTCAATAAAAGGGTGCAATTACTGTCGCCTGTGAAATACTTTCAAACTATGCATTACATTTCAAATGATTGAATGTTATTTTAATGTTTGTAGACTTATAGCTTGTTAAACTAACCCTTATGTAACAGCTGTCTAACTTCATTAAAACTTGCGTAAATTACCTCCAAATGTGTCATTTTGAAATGTTCGTTACTGTCGCCGGTAACATAGTTTGGACTTAAGGTGCTTAATTTTAAAACTTAAAGAAAAGAAACCGTAAAAAATAACATCATTTAAGATTAAACATATCAAACTCTGAAAATAAAAAATAACATCTATGTTTTTGACTGATTTTATGTTCTGTACTTGATTTTAAAACGATGTCGCCAAATAAGACACAAAATAAATATCGCCAAATAAAAATATTATGAACGTTACTTATCAAGACACAAATATAACTACAGACAAGCGATGCGAATTTTTATGTAGCTGACTATCATAAACATCCTTTCTTAATACATATACATTTCAACTTTCATCCGCATAAATTTAATTCAGTCTGTAACTTTGCCTTCTTTCTGCGATGAAATAACAATGAAATGTTCGTTACCTTATTCATGCAACTAAACGTACTATCTTCACATCGGCTGGTTATTTCATTAGAATCATTACAAAGCTAATGTGTGTCGCAAAGAAAAACAAAATTTATATCAGCAATCCTACTTTCATTCGAATCAATATTCCATGGTATGTGCTTGTTTGAAATGTTCGTTACAGCTGTACTGAAATGTTCGTTACATAGTTTTAAATTCAGTCACTTTAAACGGCGAGAAAACACAACTTCAAGCGTTTTTAGGATAGAAGTTACAACCCACCATTATATTTGAATGTCAATGTTGAAGGTGAAACATTCAAACATCCAATTTCTTAAATACTTCATGCTGAAGACAAGGTTGGTCAATACACTCATGTGTACTGTGATTTATGAACAATATTATGATATTTATTTATACAGAACAATTGAGAATGAATAAATAGACCTCTGCTTACAATTTGACATCAATGTTTGTGCTGTATACCTATAGTATTGCTCAAAATAAACAAAGAAATGTTCGTTACAGATGGTAACGAACATTTCACTTTCGGTATCATATCGTATTGAAGTATTTTTTAAATTTCTTTATCCGTCTATGAAGTTAATTGGATTAGAAACAATGTACCACATG